AATAATAGTTATAATTAGACTTACGAAACTTCTTGACCAAAAAACCTTATCTCATTTAATCAGTATGGTTTTAGCAAGATTAAATATACAGAAGATGCTATTTTAAGACTTACTAGACTAGTGGCAAACTATTTAGATAATAATAATCAAAATGTTGAATCTTTTTGGACTTACGGCAGGCTTTTCATACTGTGTCACCGAGGATACTTTTAAAGCGAATGGAGCGAATGGGTAGGTATACATGGGATTCCCTGTGATTGGTTTAAAGATTACTTAAGTAATCGGGATCAGCAGATTAAAGTTGGCACGCACATTAGTGACAGAACAAACTGTGATTACGGAGTCCCACAAGAAGGCACTCTTTTCTTTTTCTTCTTCTCTTTCTTTTTTTTCTCTTTTCCTGCTATACGTTAGCGATCTCTGCAACACGGAACTAGAAGGACCTGATTTATTAATGTATGCAGATGACACTGTCCTGCTAGTTCATTATCAAACTTGGGATGGTGTGCAGACACTTACAGAAAGAGGACTGTGTGAAGTTTCGAAGGCTCTGGAAGATAGTTTGCTATCGTTAAACACAGAAAAGACGATATATATATATATATATTTGCATGTACCATTTTTTGCTTTTGTGCATTTGATGCACACCATGCAATACAATACCCTTACCTCCCAAACAATGTGGTTGTAAAGAGCTAGAAATCTAAAAGTGCTATGTCTTCTTCCTCATAAATATCCCTCACACGCTTTGTATCAACACTGTAGGGTTCTCACTGTGAGACAATTATACTACAAATCTATAGTTCGCTGGTACCATAAGGAAGCTGTACCGTCTTTGCCAAGGTCTCAGCGAAGGAGAGAGACATGTCCCACGGTACGGACTCGTACAGAGTTCGCCAAGCGCCAATATTACGCGTTGACCTCAATGTATATAATATATGTAATGGTGTAGAACAAATTAGGTGATATTCAACAATTACGAAAATTTAATACCTATAAAAAATATATAAGGCGAAAAACAAAAAGTGCTAATGCAAGCACGCACGCACGCACGAACGCACGCACGTACGCACGCACGCACTCACACACACACACACACACACACACACACACACACACACACACAATGTAAGAGTACACACAACATAGGAGCACACACCCAATTTTTGTACACTGTAAGTAATATATAATGTACAATATAGACAAGAGATATGAAGAGCATTGACCCTGTAAGCCTGTAACGCAGCTTTCCTAGCACATTTCGTATTTTGTACCAAAAGTAATCAAATTGTAAAATTGTGATTTGTTTAACTTTTCCTGTGTGGCAATAAATTATTATTATTATTATAGGTTATCTATATAGGTTTCTCATCCGGTTGGGTTCTATAAATATATATTTATAAATGAAAATAAAACGATAACTATACATAAATATCAAAAAAATACATAAATAAATAAAAGCCCAACCAGATGGAAGCCCACGGCAGGGGAGACCAAACGGCTGAAGGTTAGGGGAAAAGGGAAAGAAACCGGCGGACAATATGGGTGGGACCGAAGAGCACCGCCTTCTGCATTTGAGCCCGAAGCGGTCCGTCATGGAGTCCCAGTCGCCTCAGATGGCACGAGAGGCTGACCGCTCGTTCGCAGAGAAGCCTACAGGAATAATTTCGGTCGGCAGACCACCCCAAATTTCGGTCACCTCGTGATCCAGGTCCAGATATTTTGTTTGCTTATCTGTTTCGGCTTTCACGACGTTCTCGTCATCATCGGTCCATCAGCACAAATTCAGGCTTATTTGCATGAATAGTCCTGTCTGTGATGATGGCCCGGTCCCAGTAGAGCCTGGCGCGGTCATTTTCGAGCACGGCTTCCGGCAAATACTTGTAATACGGCAATTTCCGGTCCACGAGACCGTATTTTAGAGCGAGCTCCTGGTGTAGAATTCTGGCTACTAGGTTGTGCCTGTGCAAGTACTCAGAGTTAGAAATCGCCGAACAACCGGAGATGACATGTCTAAGTGACTGACCGGGATGGCGGCAAGCTCGACTGACGTCGAATATGCCATCCTTTAGAATGTATCACCGATAGTTGTTGGTCTTAATAACCTGATCCTGTATTTCACATACAAAACCCTCGGATTCCCCGAAGAGGTCACCGAAATGTAGCCAGTTGAGGGAGGCGATTGTATCTACGAAGGGCTCATGTAGAACCCTGTAGTATCTCCCGTGGAGCTTCTTCTCCTTCCATATGGTCTCCCGGTCGGAAATGCTTTGTACTGCCGGGTCCTGACATTGCTCGTTGGGTAAGGATAGAGGGATAAGCCCTTTATAGAAATGACGTTACTATAGAATGGAACATCTCACCAGGAAGTAATGACGGAGGCTGCACATTTCGCGATTACGCATGGTGAGTGCGCTCAGAAAGCCACGCCCACCATGCTTTCGCGGCAATTACAGCCTCATAATTGAAGATCTCGGATGATGCATTCTATGGGACGTCATGGTAGTGCGGACTTTTCTATCCAGGGCGTTAAGTTCAGTCTGAGTCCACCTGAGTATGCCAAAGGTATACATGGAGGACAGGCATGACCCAACCGTTACATGCGTGTATCTTATTCACACCGGACAAAAGACTATTAAAAAACACTTTGGTTAACCGTGCATAAAACTTGTCGCAAACCCTGAACACTGAACAAAAACAGTTTTATACCAGCATAATCGATACAGACGTTCTGTGACATACCCAGGTATCAGTATGTTTCAGCTTCGGAAAGAGTCCTTAAGTTGATGGGCATAGATAAGTCTATGCCCTCAAAGTGAGCAACCCTTCCCCTTTCAACATGAAGGACTGCATACTTATCCGTCCCCAGCTCCATTTCACAAGTGATGTTTAGCAATTCCATAAGATGGGAGCGACTGGAGGCGAATAACTTCAGGTCATCCATATAGAAAAGGTGAGTCACTTTTGTACCTCCTTTCCGAAGCTGAAATCCCCTCCCGGAGCCCTCCAGTAAAGTACTGAGAGGGTTCAAAGAGAGGCAGAACCAGATTGGACTCAGACAGTCGCCCTGAAATATAACCCTTCTTATCCTTATGCGGCTTTCCGCAGCCGTTATGCGCTCGCCTAGATGACAGAGGATCGTACTCTACTGCCCCATACACTGTCCGAAGAAGTCTCTAACTGTACAGTCAATCTTGTACAGCTCGAGGTCCCTCTTTTTTTATGTGGCACCGAGTCCGAGAAGTTCTGATGGTTGCGTTTCACCACCTTCCCTATGACCGCGTCAATGAGGAGTGGTTCCTTGATTCCTCGACCACCGCCCCAACATCCATTTTGAGTGCGTGACATCACCTGGTTTAGCTCCTGGTGACGAGTAATTCTCGCGCTCAAAATGGACGTCAGTGTCTTATATATGATGGGTAGACAAGTGATGGGGCGGTATTTGCTCGGATCTGTGGTATCCTGATCTTTAGGAACCAAGTGAGTGATCCCAGTAGTGAAGAGGCTCGGGAGCGACTTCTGGTCGAGAGCCTCTTGAAACTGTCGGGCGAGCACAGCGTGACACACTATGAACCCCTTCAGCCAGTAATGATGCAGCCCGTCAAGCCCCGGACTTTTCCAGTTCGGGGCCCTACGGACCGCCTCAGCCACGTCTTCCGGCGTTATGTTGATGGGGTCCATGCATGTTGCCAGTGATAACCTATGGATTAGAGATATGGTCCTTCACTGTTGGCCGTATGAGGACGCCAGTAGAACCAGAGTGACTGACATAGCCCAAAGGATTAATAAGCTGAAATAGCAGTGAGCATACCTGATGGTTCGAAAAACCGATAACCGAGGTGGAAAAAGGTTCTCGAGTGGCAGCCTCGTTCCGGTTGGCGAAGTGTAGGGTGACCGCCCACTAGATGGAGTGACGACCTGGTGAGATATGCAGAAAATCGATGGATGCAGAGAACAGATGGATCGAGAACAGATGGATCGAGAACAGATGGATCGACCGTGCTTTGTGGCATTCCTTGTGGGAGGCCTATTTTCAGTAGTGTACTTATGAAGGGCTGTAATCATGAACCATAGATATTATAATACCTACAAAGTGTATGGTGTGAACTTGTTATTGTTGTTTTTACTATTTGCCAATTAAGGCTGGAAATGTCACAAACTATACAGTCTAGTCAAATGTGCATTTTTATAAAGCTTTTTTTAAAGACATAGCCAAATAAATTATAATTTATACACTCTTATATTTATGGTATTGTCTTGGATACTATTATTCTTTAAATATTGATACAAATGTTGATATTTACGGGTTTATATCGATAAATTGCTCAGCTAAATTGATGTTATGCACAGAGCACTATAGAGTTTATCTTTAAATATATCGAATTATATATTCTTTGCAGCGAACCGCTCCATAACTTTATAATTAGCAATATATAGAGTTAGAGGAAGAAATCTGGCGGATTGCTGCTCTTGTTTTAATAATTAAATAATTATTGGAAGTTGATTTTCATACGTATTTACTATAATAAGTGGTGCTATTTAGTGTATTAAATGTTTGTGCATGTGAACAATTAATGGAAATGACATAACAAATGCTTCTAACAATCAGCAATCGGAAAAGAAATCTTCTAGTACCGTGCTAAGATACATTTCCTTTTTGTTCATCGTTTGCGAACTAAACAAGACTATTGAGCTGTAATACAAATCTCTTAAAAACTTCATAATATCAGCATATTATTGTGAACTTTTAGGAACAAAATAAACACAAATCATGTAAGGCTGTATTTTCTAAAAATTTTGCCCGCCTTCATTGGCGAATTGTAAAAGCAGAAATCTATGGAATTGCTACTTGACGTTGACAGCTTCAAACTTCAATTTTTAATAAAACCTTCAAAATTTTGAAAACATTTATATGACTTTCCATCACTTTACCGTCTCAAATAAAGCATTGAGCTATTGATTGTTAAATGATTGTGTAGATACCACTTATAATATTGAATATGATCCGAGAAGATGATCCCCAATTTCGAATTACGCCATTTCAACAAATGGCATCAGCTTGTTCTGGTGCCTTAATAACATCTCTTTTCAGTAAGTTAACAATTATTAAATTATTGAATCTAAAATAGTTCTTTATTAAATTAAACTTGAAATAAATTTTATTTTTTCTTGCCACAATAAAAAACCAACCAATTGCTACAAATCTGGAAATAGTTTTATAATCATATTATGATTGTATTTAAATTTTACAACCGTGCATTGATATATTTACACATGGTTACATACAGGTAGCTTAATTTTATTAACTATGTTACACTAAATTTTATATCCTCTTTAAGTGACACCATTAGATGTAGTTAAAATAAGGTTACAAGCACAACAGAAGGCTTTATTGTCAAATAAATGTTATTTGTATTGCAATGGCCTGATGGAGCATCTTTGTCCTTGTGGTGAAACTGGTTGGATACCAAGAAGAGTACATTTCCATGGTACAATAGTAAGTTTTTATTTATCTTAAAATTTACTTCATCTAGAGCTGTGGTTTTAGGAAAGCTTGCATTAAATTTTATAGTATCTGAGCATCCTTTATTAAATCTCTACTAACTGTTAATTGCAATTTAAAATGCTTGAGAGTGAAAGAAAAGCTGCTTGTAAACTGTGAGAACTAAATAAGATATGGATATTCTAATACCAAAACTGGAGCAATGCTATACCTTTTTTTTTTTGAAAAGACTATGCCTAGTGCAGTGATAAAGATAGACTAAGTATAACTTCACTTTCATGTTTAGCCACCAATATTGTCGAATAATCTTCAATATCCAAGTGAGAAAATTGGCTGCTAATACTTTTATGTACTTTGGATGCAATTAATTACAATTTTTTAATTTGATTTTGATTGAATGTAGGGCGACACCCCACTAGATGGAGTGACGACCTGGTAAGACATGAAGGAAGTCGATGGCTGCAGGTGGCTCAGAAGCGTGCTTTGTGGCATTAGTTGAGGGAGGCCTATGTTCAGCAGTGGAATTGTAAAGGGCTGTAATGATGATGATGATGACTGTTGATGACTGTTGTGTCAATGTCATTTTAAATATTTAAAGGTCGACACTAATTTCAGTAATACTGTGCTTTACTTGATATGTTTTCTAGGCAAAATCATTTTATGTACAATTTTCATATTACGGGGTATGATCTAACAAACCTACAAATATAACCTGTTATATGCCTTAGTGGATTTTTACACGGAAATATTAAATAATTGGGGTTATAAATATCCTGTAGCTTAGTTTTTTTGGAAATTTTGGTGTAGTTCCTGTGTACCTATGCTAGGAAAACTAAAAGATTAGTAGATAATGCCTAAAGGCAAGTCAGTCTTTTATATCTGTTAACCTTAGGTGCAATGACAAGCTCTAGGTTCTTGGTGATAAGAATGTGCGAGTTAAGCGAGGGTGGTATTACTGGTTCCGGCTATATAGTGGCCAGAGCCGATCCCCTTCTGGCCAGTTCATCTGCTACATCATTGCCTCTAGATCCACTGTGTAACATAACAAAAAAAATATTATTTCTATGAACCCTTGAGTTACTGAAAATTCACTTTTAATAATTGTGTAGCTATTGGCTACTGTAATCACACTATTCCATAATTTTATGAAGATTTGTTGCCTAAGAACCATCTCAAAAATGAGAGGAGGTCTGTGCTCAGCAGCAGGATATATATATATATATATATATATATATATATATATATATATATATATATATATATATATATATGCTGCTATACGCAGCTTTTTGATTGGCCTATTACCCCTAGCAAATGGAAGAAGAAACCCTTGCTACACAGCCTTCCGACCATCAGAAATGTTGTGTAGATCCCTCTTAGTCAATTGTGAGTGACACAGCTTCTAACAATGACATATCTCTTTACAGGATGCATTCTATAAAATAGCTAAATTAGAAGGTGTTCCAGCATTATGGTCTGGGTTAAGCCCAACCCTTGTCCTAGCGTTACCTTGTACAGTTATATATTTTGTAACTTATGAACAACTTCGATACAAAACCAAAACTCTGTATAATAAGCTTACAGGAACTGGTAAGTAAATTCAGAATTATGTTAAAAAATTAATATTTTTTTAACCTGAATGCTATAAATTTAGCAGTACAAACACTAACACTAAAAGGTGATGTACACCTTCACCTTTAGGTGTTTTAGCAGTACAAACACTAACACAGGTGTTTATAGGGGTTAATACCAAATGAAATTGTGCAAAGTTACCATAACAATAATTTATATTTATATAATTAGCTTAGCAGTGAAATTAACATTAAAGAAGTGACATTTTTAAAAATTATGTATAAATAAATTGTAACCAATTTTGTTCATATTCTTACTGTCTAGCTCATCGACATTGTGATTCCTCGCTCGATAACCTGTAGTTGAAAGATGCCGGTGAGCAAGATGGCCACTAGTCATCAACATTCGGTTGCCGTGGATGTATTGCAAGATGCGATCATGTGCATCAATCGTCCATTTAGTTGACATCATGCATTCGTCCTACATGATTAATTTGAACTTTACCAAAACGCCACAACGACTCCTCTTGCTAATGTAGCATGTAGGTGTTTCCTCACACTCCAGGTTCAGCGGAATTTTCAACATCGAGTGACCAGTTCTTACACCACTGAGCAAAGTCAGCTATCTCAGAGGAAACGACAGCTAACGCGATATTTTTGTCTTTGCGCCACTTAACCAGCAGATTTTTTTACAGAAATGTTTTACCTGTGACACCTGGTATGTTCAAAAACTAATAGTCACCTTCTGTACTCTCCATGCATTTGCAGCTGCAGGGTCGTAATTAAGCTTCCTGAGTAAATCAGTAGACAACTCCATAATAACTCTGGCGTTCTAATGCCGAAATTAGATAGCTGTTTACCTATTCTTGCAAAAACTTTGTCCTCAATAAGTTCGATTTGTTAAATATACATCGTTGATTTGTGTTGTCACTAGATACTTGTAGACAATATTTTCTGATAAAGCATTTTCTATTTACTCCAAAGTTGCAAAGGGTTCGAGAGCGCAAGTGGTGATCATGATGGCAAAGACTTCTTTTAGCACTCTGAACTGGCATAATATGGAATCTTCCATTGTAGCCTCCTTCCTTCCCTTCCTTGGACATCATCTTCCAAAAGTCCAATCGTCTCACATGCTTCCAGGAACATTGTTTTTGCATGCTTGTCGATTATTTTGAAAGTTTGAAATCTATAGGGCCTCAGACGTAGTTCAGCAGCAACCACACTAACATAACACTCAAGCGTGTTACATATACGGCGTACATTCTGATGCCCAGAGCATCTGATGCCTTTATATAAGGTCAATCTTCAACAGGGTGCTCTTCAGACGATTCTTGCTTGCTTTAAATTAGCAGCATTCCACAAAAAATACCGTGGCATTTTGTACAGCAAAGTTATGGCATAGCCATCTAACTGGCACAGACCGAAAAATGCAGTAAGAGTAGTGTAAAGGTATTATGTAACTGTAGGGTGCTCTCTTGTGCAGCGGTAAGCTTAATTTCATGTTTCGCCATTTTACCAACTGGCCTGCTCTAAACATGTGCACTTCTTTTTGCGGATCACTATTTGCTATGTCATGATCATATATTATATGTAGCCATGCTACGGTACAATGAATATTGCCTGTGGTCACCCCTTGTTTATGTACATGCAAATATACTTTATTGTCTAGATTGAGTTGTAAAACCCTACATTGATGTAAGCATTAAAATTTTTGAACAGATGGAGTAGGGCAAACCAGTCGTTGACGACTACTTCGTCTTGCAAGGTACCTTTAATGCATGGGAACGCTGAGTTCAATGTTTCGCTAAGTCAGTGGATCACGCTCATGGTAACGGTTTCGTGCAATGTGCGTCGCTTCCTTCCAAATCCAAACTTAATCAAGGTTTGCATTTGGGCAACTCCGCAGATATTATGATCTTGTAGATTTGATATGGGTGCAACTTCTCTGTCAAACCACAAAAAAGAACAAAGCAAACTTCACTTAAGCCACTTAATGGAGTAAATAAAGCATTGTGTCCGTTCGCCAACAGAAACATGTAGTTTGGTGTCCTCACCTCCTGGTCCACCAGTTTTTGTATTGTGGAGATCGGTTGGCTTCTGTCTGTCCGTCAACTAGTCATTAATTTCGGTTTACGCTGGGTTACACGTGAACGTGATGAAGGTATATGACAATAAATACGGATGTGGTCTATATATCTAAAATAATAAAATTGTAAATTTGGCAGTCAAGTATGTCTACAATTTAGCCCCGTAAAAATAGTGGCCCAGGTTAATTCCATTATAGGCATTAAGAGATGAAATCAATCAATAAAAATATTGTATTGATGGTGTAATATAAATTTAGTGTTATGTTGACTATAAATCAAAGATATCTGTGACATTACTATATGTTTTATTTATACAACTGTTTGCAAAAAAAAATGTTAATATATAAATTGTAACTTTTCCAGTGAGTCAGCCAATTTGGATACCATTGCTGGCTGGTGCTTCAGCTAGAACAATAGCTGTTACTTTAGTTAGTCCATTAGAACTTATCAGAACCAAAATGCAATCAAAGAAGTTAACATATTCAGGTACAGTTATAAAATTATAATAAGTAATTGTTTTATTATATGTAAAATAGTCGGATGAGTATATTTGAGTAAATCTATTTGCAAATAGATCTATCCTTTCTTTTAAATAAGTGCTCTTGTGGTGAGAGTCTACCCACATTTTGACTTTTAAATTCTTACAAGATTTTGTGGAAAAAATGTATGAAGGCTTAAAAATGTAAGTTTATCATATTATAGGTACCTACCTTATAAACAAAACTTAATAAAACACTGACAATCCGGAAATATATATTAACCGTGTTATTATTCCCATAGAATTGGCGAAAACATAAATTTAGTAAATAATTCCATCGCCAGCGACACGATCGGTCGCAAAGGCTCGCAGCGGCTGCGACAGACAACGAACTTCTGGTCACTATTAAGTTATTTAGGACTTCTTTCGTGAAATAGATTTAAGTTTAAATCTAAATACAAGCTAATTATTGTAATAAGCCGAACATGCATATTTTTCATACATATTAACTTGCAAGTATATTTATTTTAATTAATAAAATTCAGTCCTAACATTATTACAATTTTATAGAAATCAGTGCAGCGTTACGTCAAGTCATTCGATACGAGGGTTACAAAGGACTTTTTCGTGGTTTAGGATCTACTTTACTTAGGGATGTGCCATTTTCAGGTATTCTTTTAGTTTATTATACTTTTATGTTTATTTAGTAGGTATATTTGAAATAATAATTTAATTAATTTTAGGCATATATTGGACTACATTTGAGTCAACTAAAAGAGCATTCAATAAACCAGATTCAGAAAAGAATTCCTTCCCATTCAACTTCTTTTGTGGCCTTGTTGCTGGCAGCGTAAGTAATTATACTCTACAAAAATTTTATTCTAAACCCATTTTAAGATTTTTCTTTTTACCACCGGTATGCTGGCTGTTAAAAACTGTTGCACTTGCCTTGTTTCTTTGTATGATCATAAATGTATGCCAAAAGGTATGTTTTTCTCTTTATTTAGAGGCTTTGAAAGGAGACGACATAACTTACAATATATATAAAAAAAAAAATATATATATATATAACATGTCCCAAAATTCAACGATAAGCCAACACCGGAGGATAGACCTGGCCCGGACTAATCGGGGAAAAAAAGAAAAAAAAATATATCCCAATTATATTTTAAGTTATATAAAAAAAACGAAATTCTTCAGAAATTGAGACCGTTTATGATATTTTCCACTACCATGACCACAATTTTTTTAATATTTGTTTCTTTTTTATATAGGCAACCTGAATAGCACTGCTATCTACCACAATTCTTAAAAAATCCAGAATAACTCTTGTTTTATCACGAAAATTAATGAAACTTATGTTATTCCCTAAATTTTTTGAAGACTTTTACTTTTAACCAACTTTAACTTATCGTGGTGTAAAAAAAAGTATGAACACTAGTATGGCAAGTTTTTTTAAAAATTGACGCAACTAACCAACATTCCAAAATGGTATAATACTCTAGGAAAACAAGTTATAAAAAAATATGGGCCTATTATTTCTAAACAGGGGCCAAATTTCTTAAATTGTAATTGTCAGTAATCACTTTTACTACATGCCCAAAATGGGTTCTTGTTACAATTTCTAGGAATTTGAATGGGGCATACATACCTTAGATGTTAGAGATAGATAGATAGAAATAGAGATTTTTACATTAAGAAAGAGACAACAACAGGGCAGGTAGAGAAGCTGTTATTATTCTCAGCAAGTCAGTTCAGTACGCTTTGTTTACTGCGCACCGTTCCCAATTCAACTTACGTGGCTCTCGTACATACTATCGACTTTTGGCTTGGCTTTTTGGACGGGAATCGACCTGCAAACTTAACTGACCTGGCATTATTTGGACTGGAAGTGTTCTGCAAACTGAACTGACCTGGCATTATCTTGGACTACGATTGTGTGTTTTGTGATTTAGAGTTCTGGCGCATTTTGGACTGTTTGGCGTTTAACATGCCGCAAGCGTACACACCACAGGAATACACTAACATGCATTTAATCTATGGAGAATGCAGATGTAGAGCATTTGGGTATCTTTCTCGATACAGTCTGCTAGCAGCGTTAGCATTATACACACACATATATATATATATATATATATATATATATATATATATATATATATATATAAGAATTGCCCATTTAAAGGTATTAGATAAAATTCATTATTTTCATAGGAAAAATTAACTTTTTAAAATCTTGTTTTTTTAATTTCAGATTGCAGCATTTGTTACTTTACCCTTTGATGTGGTCAAAACACACCAACAAATAGAATTGGGCGAAAAAGAAATTTATACAGGTTTGTTGATTTGACTTTATTTGGAATTTATATATGTTTGTGATTAGAAGTAATGTACTTTATTTGATTAGCACTGTTTTCTTTTACCAATTAAATTGAGTAGAATATGTTTAAATCATTGAGTTATATGTACTACAGATTAATAAAACACCACGTCAAGTCTATGTTCAGTAAAATATTTTACCTACATTTGGTTTTGTAATAGAACATCTGCATGTTTTAGTCTATGATTGTAGATGGCGTGGCATTTAAATGAAGAAATATTCCCACTGTGGGATTACGATATTATTACCTATTTTTTAACTTGAACTACAAATAATTTTAGTTACTTGACTACTGAATTGTTGTTTACCTTCAAGTTCAAACTTTGATTTGAATTCTCGTATTTTTAGCGCTACTCCGCATTGCATGAATATCGAAGCCACACTAAATGACATAAAGTAAGGTGTACGGATTGCAGTACAGTTCAGTTGAACATAGTGAGTGTTCGGAATGCGAAATCTAGTGCGTAGTACATATATATCGATGGTTTAAATACATGTATATAATATACTAAACTGTAGGAATGGAATAATAGACATAATAAACTATAGAGATATCTGACATTTTAATTAAAATACTGGCAACAATACATAGAACTATTTTTGGGTAATTAATTGAACTTTTGTAAACTATCACGTGAAGAAATTATTCATTTGCTGTAAAAGTATTAAATAAAAAAGTATATAAAGTATTGAAAACAAAAAAGTCGTTAAGCCTATTTCTAATAGTCGTGAAAATTTAAGTTCCTCTCTATTCACCAATTTATCAATATATTCTTGTAGCTTTTTAGATATTTCTTAAAAATATATGTCTGTAAATGTGTAATATAGCTGTAAATATATGTTAATATTATTGTATAATCTTTGCCAAAAATAATGGCAGTAAGTATTTCGGTATCTGGTTTACGTTATAATTGCAGGCTTAAGGAAAGTGGAAAATCAGGGTTCCCGAAACCCTGAACACCAGTTACAGAGGGTTCGACATTCGCCACCTATGAGAAGTACGATTAATTTTTTTATAAGAACTGGGAACATTTAATGTCATAATATAATCTCATTCGGGTCTTTTGTTTTTAAAGCAAAGGGTGTAATAAGTCATACGTGTGTAGACTGAATAAGCGATTGGATGCTACCCTCCTTAAGTTAAAACCATAAAATGATGTTTGTATTGCAAGGCCATGTTGTAAATCTACTTGCTATTCTCATAGCATCATTATTATTCTAGTTAACAACTGAAGACTATACGGGAAGAATTAGCGCATCTGTCATAATATAAACGTCATATCTTAACACGACGTAACCAGGGTCGGATTCCGTAGTATAATTATCCTAACTGTACAATTATTTCATAGTTTGTAGTAAGTAGTATCGTAATAATACTAAGCGTAAATACCATAATTTTACCTAAAGGTCGACTAGTATTATTATTGTTTTTCTTTTTACTTTTTAATATTAACCCTAAGATATCGAGAATTTATTTATTGTACATGAGTACCGCGTTTTTTTTTAAATAAAATTAGAATTAGCTCCCTAGCTGGTCAATCGGTGCTCGATCGATGCATTTATGTTGCATCTTTGATACAACTATAATGAGAGGCTACCACGATAAAAACTATGCTCCAGAAGTATTCGGTTTGAAAACAGAATTTCAAAATATTTTATGAATCAAATTTTCAGATTCAATTAAGCAGATATGGTATCTTTTGTACTCTTTTCGTTTTACCCTTATTGAATATAAAATATATTCAAAATTTAACTTACACTTAGTTACACTTAGTTCTTTAGACAAAAATTAAACAGAAATAAAAATGAAACCGTGAAAAAATGAAACTTATAGATCAACTAGACGCGTGACGACAAAATCCCGGCACATGGGACAAAAGAAACATGATACGTCAAACGTGATATAATTTTTGAAAAATAGTATTATTTTATTTTCCATGTGCAATATTTTTGAGGGTCTGAATCTAATCCGGGCCTAATCTTGGTAACGTAACTAAACTGTAAAATAAAACTTTAAAAATGCGTTTATATAATAATTTAATTGTAACAAAATTAATATAAGGTTATTTACCGATGATACGATATCCCATGTCCCTTTTTAATCTTTGTATCGTAATTTTTGCATCCTTTTACCACGCAACTAGACATATTTATGACAGGCAAATCTGACCTGCGTGCGCACCACTGTCGAACGAGTCGCGTTGGCCCTAAATTGTTATTTTAGGGCCAGCGCACTGGTCCGATTTTGGTTGTTCGGTCGGCCGGGTCCTTACGCTAGTAATGTAACTTTATAAGTCAATAGTATTTTATACCAATCGATTTTTAATCAATTTTCTTTTTATGCTACAAAGTCAAAAACAGAATTAATTGATTAATTCATCCATTAAAAGTTAGTGTAATCTATAAAAAATATTAGAGCCTGAACATACTGCGTAAAAACTAGAGATGGGCCGAATATGGATTTGACCGAATACGAATATTCGGCCGAAAGTTCGGTAAATCTTTTACCGAACCGCATATTCGGCCGAACATTTTTCGGCAGGATCACCTCAGCACCTAACCAATTTACGTAGAAACTTGTTACCGTAAAGCGTGGGATTAGTTCCGGACCCTGCCCCTCGCTCATCATCTAGTACTGAGCAAATTGCCGGCACATGTTTTATGTTTTGACTATTCTTGTGAGAAAAAAAGTATTTCGTTGTATTATTTTTAGTGAAAATGTATAATCATATGATAAAAATGAATGGCAGGAGATATAATATTTGGATTTATTTTAGAGAAACTGAAGACCAAACCAAAGTGAAATGTAATGTAATGTTTATTTGTTTAATTCCAAAAACATTTTATCAAGCTTTCTATTTGCTATAATTGGAAATAAATCTACAGTGCCTCATAAACATAAAACGCTATACAAGTAGATTTAACCCATAATAAATTACACTTTCAATAGTAAAATTATGAAGGACATTGGAATTACTCAATTCGTACATTTCAATACAGTGGACACTTTGAGTACCACTTTAACGAATTTACACTCTATTGTGAAAAGCCAAAATGTGTTAAAAAAAGCACGTATGGCAATTCACAATGCTGTGTTGGTCCCTACGTTAACGTATGGTATAGAAAGTTGGGTGTGGCAGAAGAAGCACGAAAGTACATTAAACGCAGTAGAAATACGGTTGTTAAGGAGTATGTTAGGGCTGAATCTGACAGGGTGAGAAATTGTGTGATAAGAGAAGAGTGTGGTTTGCAAAATGATGTTGTGACCGGGATTAAAAAATTAATGCTTACGTGGTTTGGTCATGTGGAAAGAATGAATGAGGGTCGGAAAGGGATGTCCTAGGCGAAAGTTTATCGACTAAATTGGCGATATATTGAAATTGGGCCAAATTAGGGGTACCGTTAACCGACGAATATGTATGCGTAGGTATATGGATGTGAAGGAGGTGAAAGAGGTGTGTCAGGATCGTGCCAAATGGAAGTCTGTAGTCTCTGCCTACCCCTCTGGGTGACAGGCGTGAGTGTTTATGTTTGTTTATGTTATGTAAAATATATTTATAAAACTGCATTCTGTGCTATATCAAATTTTTAAATTATATGCTCATTTGATAGGCACTAATTAATTTATATTGTTTTAACATAAAATTTCCTTGATAACTTATATGTGTACGTAAGTCAATAAAAATTTTGTAATGGTATTTCGACAGATGGTAAAGTGCAACAAAGAGCATCGAATATGCAGAGTATCGTACGAAACATATACAGGAATCACGGCTTAAAGGGTTTGTTTACTGGCTTAATGCCTAGGATATTTAAAGTTGCGCCTGCATGCGCTATCATGATCGCATCATTCGAATACGGGAAACAGTTCTTCCAAAAGTACAACACACAAAAATACAAAGAAAAATTACAAAGGTAATTAATTTAATGTAAATAAATATTTAAATGCAAAAATGTGCTGATCTACATGCTTATTTACATGCTTAATTACATGCTTATTTAGTTTGCTATAATATTTAACACTAAAGCACGAAGGGCACACTGAAATGATCGGGAATAAAAAAAATCACATGCACGGTATAGCTAAATTGTATTTTATTGTTTTTCGAAGTATTCTCCGTTCACCCTAATGCATTTTTTCATTCGTGCTAACCAATCATTAAAACAGTAATTCCAGTCTGAAGTTGATGTTGACAAAATGGCTGATTAGTATGCTTCCACAGCTGCTTCGGGGTCTTCAAACCGTTGACCGCGTAATAAATCTTTCAATCTTGGGAATGTAAATAAATCATTTGGGCTCAGGTCTGGACTGTACGGAGGATGGCTTATCAGCTCAACGTTTTCCTGCTTCAAAAAACCATTCGTCTTCCGAGCCGTATGGGGAGCTCGCATTATCGTGATGTAAGATGATGCGACGTTTCGGGTTATTTTTTCGGAGTTTTGCTATCATTTCTGGCAAACAAACCATGATATACTACTCAGCGGTAACCGTTTTGCGTTTCTGTAAAGGAATTGTAGCATCATGCCCCTTTTTCGAGACAAACATAGCGACCATTTTCTTTGACACGCTGTGGGAGCGAACCACTTTCGTTGGTTTAATTAACCTCGTCTTCGAAGACCCAAACTGCTGACTGATGTTTTATTTCAGGTTCGTATGAATAAATCCATGATTCGTCACCTCAGACGATATTATAAACGGCATTTGACTTTCCTTCGTTGAAGCTTTGAAGAGTAATCCGGCACCAATCTATACGAGCCGCCTTTTGCCCTTCGGACAAATTGTGGGGAACCCAGCGGGAAACAAGCTTTCTTACACACAGCTCGCTATGTAATATCGACTGAATTGCAGTCATTCCGATACTGATAATAGCCCGAATCTGTTCGTGTGTCACATGACGGTCATTTAATATATTAGTTCGCACAGCTGCGATGTTTTCAGACGTGACCACTGTTCTTGGTCGACCTGCAGAAGAAACAGTGCTGAGCGACACACGACTGCGTCGGAACTCGGCATACCAGCGGTATATTGTCGTTTGACTCGGTGTTTCAACATCATAATTCGAAACAAGTTCGCTGAGACATTTATCTTGAGATAAGCCGCGACGAAAATTGTGATAAATTATGGCACGGAAATGTTCACGCGTGAGCTCCATTTCTGTTAACGACGTGTCAACTTTAAATCAACATAGATTTTGTTTTTAAACATTTTTTTTAATTTTTTGAATGTCATTAAGATTCTAAGAGGCCAGTATTCAAATTCTAAAAAAGGTTTTATTGTAACTCAATCCGAAATATTCTATCCCCGATCATTTCAGTGTGCCCCTCGTACAGCACCTATTTCATTTTTGCGTTTATTTTTAACATTGAATTCATAAATTTTATATTTTTTACACAACTGCTGTGTTTTTATTTATACTGTTTCCTTATTTATACATGTATGTACATATAATGCTTTTTATTTCAGAAAAGGAATAGAAGTAACAATACTAAAACGTGAATAGCGTGAAATCTAACTTCCTTTGTTAAGTGTGTTTATTTTTAAAACTGGAATATTTAAAATGGTAGTAGTCCTTATAAAAATTCATATAGTTTGAATTGTTATACGTAGTTTTAGTTGTATACAATAATCTGTTTTTAAAATGGGCATGTATGATATCTTCTTCATCAGCTCACTAAATAACGTCCATATTTTTACGTTGGTTAATTGGATCTTAATCAGCCTGCAGTGTTACGAAAATCACCCTTACAGCGGGAAAGGTGCATTTCCACACTCGTAACAATCCAGCTGGATTATCGATCCAATTAACCAACGTAAAAATATGGACGTTATTTAACGCGAGTCGACAGCGATACACGATTAGTCCGTTTCGCGACTTCACATTTTTGTCGCCTTGTAGATCTGTTAAAAATTCTCTTGCTAAAATATCGCGCCCTCATTTTTTTTTTTTTTGGAGAGACGTGAATTTTATCTATGTTTCAATAAATGTTGTTACTCATTATACTGCTGTACCATGTCGTCTATTACGCAGGATATAAACAGCGAGAAACAAAATATTTTTATTGAAATAATTAAATTTTAAAAAAAATTGCGTTTAGTGTAGAACAGTTAATAATATTAAATTTGTCAATAGCAAATATATTTTTACTTATTTACAGGCATCAAGAGATTGTTTTGATCGGCAACTCAAATGGTAATGACTATTCATAAATCACGAAAGGAGACTGTAAAGGGGAAAGTTGATTGGTTAATTATTTACATGTAAATCAGTAGCAATAAATATTATAGAAGCTAACGGGAAATGTGTGGAAGTTGTATGTCTACTACATAAATGTTATGTAAAAATATTATAAAATGTGATACTAAAGTAATTACACATATACCTAAGGAACATCCGATTCTATTATCAAAATAATTGAATACTTTTACAACATTTGACAATGGGTTATATATCATATTATAATGTGGTTTAATGAAATCTTTACATTTATTGCTTGGGAATAGTTTTATAGTAATATATTGTTACAATTCATCATCATCATCATCATCATTACAGCTCTTCGTAAGTCCACTGCTGAACACAGGCCTCCCACAAGGAATGCCACAAAGCACAGTCACAGTATAATAAAAACATACAGTAGGACGACGCCTTTGATCTCGTGGTAAATGCCGACAACGTCTAGACAGCGTATGGAGGTTAGGGTTGTCACAAATTAACAACTTTTACTAATTTAATTATTTATTTTAGATCTACATCGTGATCAACAATATGATTACTAATATAAAGAATAAGTAATAATTTGTTCTTACATTTTTCCTGAAAGTACTCAAAACGCTAATTGCACGCCTCACAACGTGAGGGAGTGCTCTACTCTCGATATGTGGCCATACCTCAGTTTCGCTACATAAAATCGTTCTTATACTCTTAGCTAGACATCAAATCCAAAAAAATATATTATATATATATACAATTACTACAGACATTGAATTATTGGTTTATTTTATAACTGATTCACTTTAGATTACACAACAAAAAATGTAATTGAAAAAATATATCGACTGCCGTTCGTTTGTCTATGCGTCTGTGAGTCTTCTCGCTTAATAGAAATGTAAGTGATAAATTGAGATATATAGTATTAAATAAGATTCCATATATTCTAAGGAGGGTCCTTATTGATTTTTGCTATTGAACTGAACACCTTTTAAAAGTTATTTATTTTTTTCATCAAAATTAAATGAAACGCTCATGAGGCGTGCATTTTGGATTTTCCAATTTTTTTTTTGCGCCCAGAAGCAATTACAAAGGGCTACCCCGTTACGCGAGGAGGTGGTGAATGCTTTATGCAAAACCACGACAGCCGGTCTGTCGTGGTTTTGCATAAAGCATTCACCACCTCTTATGTGGGACTCACTGTGACTAAACCCTAACCTAACCACTACCCTAAGTGTACCCACTAAACACCACCTGTGGGACTGGCAATTGACGGATTAAGCCTCTTTGCCGGATCGGAAGCGACCCTCTTTTGGGAGAAGAGGGCGCAGGCGGCTACGAGCCGCTGAGGGAGAGCCTACTTAGGCAAAATTTAAGAAGAATCGGCCTGAGCCGCCAGGAGGCAGTTCAGGTCGGTTGAAATTTTATTTGGCGGAGTATATCCGAGAGAGAGTTTCTCGGCCTGCGGACTCGATAGCGAGGGGGGAGTGGGGCTGCATAAGTAGCTGCCTCACGAATAAAATGATTGGAATTCAAATATTTACTACTACTATAACTATATGGACACCTGTTTTGTTACTATATAATCGATAAGAAAAAAAAACTATAAGGATATAGTAACTAATTCATTTCTAAATCAGGAATTATAAATGGGCAACTGACAAATATTTTCGGTTTTTAGATTTACTGGATTTGAAATTTCTATTATTGAACTTAATTACATAAAAAATTCTCATCCTAATAAATAATTTTAACAAATAATTTATTGGGAAGCATGCACATGGTTTGGTGTTGAACTCTATTAGTCTCAAATGCTCAAACAATTTGAACCCAATGTTTCCAGTAAAAGTAAAAATCGACATCAATTCTGTTGAATAAAACTATTATTTACGGATTTTATCGCGTTTAATTACTTTAATTTATTTTTATTATAATCCCGACGTTTCGGGTGCTGTAAAGCGATAAAATCCGTAAATAATAGTTTTATTCAATGTGTAGTTTCGAGTAAATTTAAGAAATCGTTATCAATTCTGTTTCCAAGCTATGTATGTAATCCAAAAAATCATCTGGAGGGACTTGTAGTCCTCCGAAGCGATCACGGCTAGTATCATAAGCTCTCAGACGGATGTATAAATTTCTCTCATTTGATTCATCGTCATATGATGATGCGTAACTAATTACCTATAGGCAGTCACGCTTGTGATTTTCAACACACCTTCACCTTTACTTCCACCGTATTTTTGGCATATTCTACAAATTGGGCTAGTATGCTGTCAAAATCTTCGGTACAATTTGTAGCGTCTGATAAATTTAGAATTCGGCATAGAAACATTTTTCGGAATGCCCCGGTGTATTGTATACAAGAGGGTTCCCGACAATTTCACCCCAAGAAACCCCGAAATTGATACCCATATCGTATTATTAAAAAAATGTCCGCCATCTTGGATATGAAAATGGATGCCAGTTTCGTAATAAGCACCCCAAGAAACCCCGAAATTGATACCCACCCATATCATATTATTAAAAAAATGTCCGCCATCTTGGATATGAAAATGGATGCCAGTTTCGTAATAAGCACCCCAAGAAACCCCGAAATTGATACCCATATGATATTATTAAAAAAAATGTCCGCCATCTTGGATATGAAAATGGATGCCAGTTTCATAATAAGTACCCCAAGAAACCCCGAAATTGATACCCATATCATATTATTAAAAAAAAATGATGTCCACCATCTTGAATTTAAAAATAAATTTCATTTTCGTTATCAGCACCCCAAGAAACCTCGAAATTGATACCCATATCATATCATTAAAAAATGTCCGCCATCTTGGATATGAAAATGGATGCCAGTTTCGTAATAAGCACCCCAAGAACCCCGAAATTGATACCCATATCATATTATTAAAAAAATGTCCGCCCTCTTGGATATGAAAATGGATGCCAGTTTCGTAATAAGCACCCCAAGAAACCCCGAAATTGATAGCCATATCATTAAAAAAAATGTCCGCCATCTTGGATATGAAAATGGATGCCAGTTTCGTAATAAGCACCCCAAGAAACCCCGAAATTGATACCCATATCATATTATTAAAAAAATGTCCGCCATCTTGGATATAAATATGGATGCCGGTTTCGTAAGCATCACCCCCAATAAACCTTGAAATTGACATCCATATCCTACATATATAAAAAAATGACCGCCATCTTGGATTTAAAAATAAATGCTATTTTCGTAATTAGCACACCGACAAACTTAAAAATTTACCCCCAATTCTTAATATTTTATAAAAAAAACTTCGAAAGACCGAAGACGACGCACTATAGTATGGTCTAAAACCTTAGCCCATTGAGTTATACAACACTAGAGGAGCAAACTACATTACCGCGCGTCGAAAAAAGTGTAACCACTATCCAAACGCGACGACGTAGCTTTGAAACTAATAACAATTTTAAATAAACATATATCTATCTCACTTATACAAGTTGCGAAAACAATATCGTCGCTAAGATTAGATAAAGATAGACACACACACATGCAATGGCGGGTTGGTGCGGCTTACTATATGAAATTTTACCTAAAATACGCAATAAAAATGAGTTTTTTTTTAAGCTGCAGTTAATTGTTTTTATATTAAAAAAAGTATATTTTTTTTTTAAATCTTTATTGCGTGCCCTTAAAAAAAAGGATACAAAGCTTATCAGATGAATAGAAGTAAACGTAATGATGAAACAAAACTTGTTTTTATAAGTATTTTTATTGTACTAATAAATCAAACAATATAAAATAGGTAATAAAATATAATTAATATAAAATTTATATGAAATTATAATTATTATCAAATTATTAATATAAAATAGGTAATAAAACATATTTAATAGATAATTCATTAGTAAACTAGAATATGAATAATTACTTATTTTGTATGAAAGTACGTTTTACGTAGTTTTTATTATAATTTCCAAAATATTTAAAATAAGAGGTAACAAATTAACTTACTCCATTAATTATATAGTCTTCCATTAATGCAGGATAATCACAAATGCAGAAAAGTGGCAACATTGAACCTAAATGGCAATATTCGATAACTTTATTTAATTATTTGAGGTTGTTTACGTTTATATGAAAACAAGAACTAAAAATTATGTGTTGAAAGTGATTCCGCTTGATTTATTACGTTTTTGTGACCTTGAATAGCATTCGTTCACTACGCATTTACCCATTTTTTGTCGCGGCCCAACTCTGTCGGCGTCATATTGAACACTGAACTGACGTCAGCTAGGCATATGGCTGTGGCCATATGTGCAGTGGCAACGCTTTGACGCGGTTATTACTGATCTAGTGTAATATATAAATCAATGCCTTAGCCTGTCCAACCACACGATTTAGATGAAGAAAAATCAGTAATGCCCAGCGACTATATAGTACCTATTTTTTACGTCCGCCATTTCTTTTACGTTGGCTATTTGGCATGACATGACAAAATATACATAATGTAAAAAATAATAACAATATCTATTTACCTTTCTTCGGTGTGCGGAATTTTGTGAAATCGCAGATCTTTATTTATGCGAGATGACGACTTGCAATCTCTCACAGCACACGTCGTATGAACCATTTTAATTATAATTATCAACACTAAATTTAAAAATTATAAAAGCAAGCGCGCGTTAACCCTGGAAGTCGTGTCCGGAGTCTCCCGAGCAGGGTTGCTAATGTATGTAATTCCCCAAAATTCCATATGAAATTCCCCAAATTTGGGGACAAAAATCTGCTGATTCCCCTCAATATTATTTTAAACAATGAAACAAGTTTAACCTATTTAAATAATATTTATTTTTTAACCTTTGTTGCACTTTTTCCATACGTTTGATGCAAGCATTTTGTTGGAAGGATTAAACTTGGCACTGCCGCCCAATTTTTTTATACACTCTCTTGTTGCCATTAAAGATACTACAGTACCTGTATTTAGCCGATTGCGATTTTCTGTTTTTAAACATCGAAGCGCACTAAATTTTCTTTCGACCGACGCGTTTGAAAATGGCAATATGAGCAACAAAGACATAACAATTTTTATGTTTGGAAACATGTATTCTCCCGCAGCATTTTTAAGGCGAAATACTTTACCCCAGTAACTTTCGGCATTGATGTTATCTCCATGAATTTCAAGCCCATGTTGCTCAAAATCTAACAAAGCGTGAGTTCACCACTCGTCATGTAATTTTTGTGCGGTCACAAATTTATAAAGCACTGGAAATCGCTTCAGCACAGGCACAAGTGATTTAATTAGAAACTGTTGAGCTTCTGATGGATTTACAGCGGATATAATAGAAAATAGAGGATCCCCAAAATCAAATCGCTTGGTAATATCTGACGTCAATTTAATATAAAACTCCTGGCAGGTTCTATAGAAATCTGCAATAGCAGCACGAGGTACATTTTCGTCATTTTTTAAAATTTCAATACTTTCTCCAGCCTTTAATCCAATATATATTTCGTTTAAACTTAGAAAATGTGTTGGGTTTTTGAAGTCTGCGTTTAAAATATTAGCACAGGACTTGATATAGCTAATTTTCATGAAATTAGAAGACAACGTTTTCAAAAGGTTTTCGACTTCTGGTTTCAATTTGTAAAGAAGGGAAGTTTCTGATTGAAACAAGACATTGAATTTTGTTACCAGTGCAAGTACGTAAGACATGAACTCCAAATATACCACAGTGAATTGGTTGTTTATTGTAATCAGCATTTCTTCGGTAGTCTTCGACGGATCTGAGAAGACTGTTTCTGTCAAGTAGGCTTTTAATGGAGTATACTGCTCTAAGACACGGTCTATACACGCTTTCAGCGAGAGCCATCGAGTTTGAGCTGGTGTGAGAATTTTGTGAATCTCCACTTGAAAGAATTCTTGAAACTCTCTAAATTTTAGTTGTCTTTGTGAACTTCTACTGAAGTGAGCTCCAACAGAACGCAAAAAATCTTCAACGTTTCGAGGCAATTTAAGACAAGCTTTAGATGATGATAGGTGTATAATGTGACAAGAACATTTCACCAGAGCAATGTGAGGCAAATCTTTTTTAAGAAGAGCAAAAACAGAGCAATGTTCTCCAACCATCACGTTTGTGGTATCTGAACTAAACCCTACCATGTTTTCTATCGATATGTTTTTATTTCGAAGCATTTGATGTAAACAGTCATACAGTCCCTTAGCAGTTCCTGATGACAATTCCACCATATCCAGAAACAAATGCTCTACCTTATTGGTGTTCTCATCATAGACAACAGCAGTAAAACAGCATTGTTTTAAAGAGCTCTGATCAGTCGTTTCATCCATTATTAATGAAAAGAAGATTTTTTCTCCGCGTAATTTTTCATATATATCCTCTAAAAATGTGTTTCCTAAAACATTATTTATTATAGCCGTCGCCTTGGTTCTGTGTAAATTCATATTTTTAGCTATAACTGAGTCTGCGAAAATCTCTTTGCAGAGTGGGCCCAAGATGTCGCTAAATGATATTGGTATATTATTTTCAGCCAACGCTCCGGCTAATTTTAGTTCAGCTTTTCGTACATTTATTTCTAAATCCATCACTGGCAAATAATTTGAAATTTTTGGAATTTTCTGTATTTCTAATGATTTTTTCTTATGGCGATCTGAATTCATATGTCGAATCAGATCACTTTTATGCGCTATGATCGACACCGAACAAAGCATACAGTGTGCTAAATCATTTCAATCTTTCATTTTCGAATCTTTGCATAGCCAGCTCAAGAAGTTTGGTTCTTGAAGCCATAAATCATTAAATTTATTCAGGCGTTTTATTTTTTAGTTTGTGGATTATTTGACTCACTTGTTGCCAAGCCCACTGAAGTCAAATTGGAACTGGGAATGGGAACAGCATATTCTACTTCTATACTAGAAGTTGAAGCCTCTGATGTTTCCTTTTCGGGTTTCCTTTTACGTTCAAGCTAAAAACCAAAAATTAGGATAGTTATAATCACTGAGTTTCTGACAGACGGTAACCTGCTAATGTTTCATGATCGCGCACAAATAAATAAAAAGGCTATTAATTACCTTACCTTAGGATTATCTTCTTTGTTTTGGCCTTTCATTAACCATTTATCCATATTTGTACAAGATAGTATCGTTACGGCTCGACAAAATACGTATTATAATATTATAATGTTAAGAAATTCGCTATTTCACAAAACGTCAAAAGAAAGGGAATCCCCCTAATCATAGTGTCGGTATACTTTCCGATACTTCTAGCTTTCATTCAATTTGGTTTATTGCAACCATAGATCAGAAAAAATATTAAGATTTTTGGCTTGGATGCTTGTCTTTTAAGCGATGTTTTCTTCTCATTCATACTCAAAAAGATAAGTGCAATAAAGAGTATTGAGTCCTCCGTTATCCATAAGTACCTAAATTAAAAAAAATATTAAAGTATTTGGTATTTTCGAAAAAGTATATTAACGAAGATGTTAAAATCCCCGCATTTTCCCCGCATAATGCCAATCCCCAATAAATCCCCAATCAACTTGAGATTCCCCGCAGTTTGGGGAATTCCCCACAAATCGGCAACCTTGCTCCCGACCTCCCGAGCTACTAATACGATTGGCATAAGCAGATCCATAGATTACTGCCTATATACTAGAGAAGCAGATCGGGCTCGTCCTTCCCGCGTCTCACCCCGCACACCCCGCACGATAGCCCCGTCTAGACGTCTTCGTCGGACGACTGTATGGATTTATAGACTGTGGCACAGTCCTGAACTGTTATACATCACAAAAATCTTGATTAAGCAATATCGAAATTTTAACCCAATTAGTGTCAATAAATGTTGAAATAGATCTTCGAATCACTCCTATATTATTTGTAAAAAGTGTCTTCGTGGTAGTATAATAAGCCTTCATTAAGCCTTCTTGGTTTAACAAGTTGAAATGTAAAATTCAAAATATGCTTTTTACTAATTTGGTGATACCATAAAATATTATGTAAAAATATTTGGATTTATCACTTAATATAAATTGTAAATATATCTTTAATTTATATATATACATAGGCAACCATAAAATGTATGAATAAAAGTAGCAAAATGAAACGGTCTAGTTGGTTTTGTTTCACCTTAACCTTTATAAATATGAAGTTTTATTAAATACTTCATTCAAGATGGGATTCAATCATCTCATAATAGTTAATTTGTTATTAATATGTATTTTAGACATATCCAATCATATAAGTTGCAAATAGTTTCATGAAAGCTGCGGTAGCTAATGTAATGGACTGAGCGTTAGCTGTAAATCACACAGTAGGTATATGAGCAACCCGAATTCGATCCCTGCCACTAATGAAATTGTTAATAGTAATTTTAAGTGATGGCTTACCGCATACTCGGCGGTGAAGGAAAACATCCTAAAAAAAAGAAACATTTTAATGACATGTGGTGTCCACCAATACGTATTAGGGCAGCAGACTGTGTACACTTCTATGACCTATTACCCTTTCAAAAATGAGAGGAGACCTGTGAACAGAATAGTCATGTTGTTTAATTGCCATAGCCAGAATGATTAATTAGTAGTAGTCTTAGAAAACAGAAAAAAACCAGAAGCCACGAACGCGCTTAAAAGTGAGGCTTAAAACGAAAACCACACTTAAATAAGTAGTGTAGTTTCACGTTCAGGCGAATAATCGCTATGTACGTCGTATGGCGTGACGTATTTCGCCAGGGTTAAATTAAATTATACCGTCTTGTGCCATCTCTGTAAAAAAGCTGTTAGGCGCCAAAAGAAATAGAATGGGATCACATTTCATGTGCAAGTAGCGAATTCAGATGTTTTATTTATGAATTAAACTATTTGTTCTGTTCGTAATTGTACATAATAGAGAATGATGGGTCCATTTTGTTAGTGTTGCCAATATAACAGTTTTGTTTTTCCCTAATTTGAATTATTAAGAACCATGTTATTTGTGATTAAACGGCATTTATTTTGTATATAAAAAAGTATTTAACTGCTTTCTTATGTTGGCGTATATTTTTCCTAATATTATCGAACGGAGCTTCAATATAAAATATACACAAATACATTGATTAAAACTACTTTTACGGATTTTATTTATATTAATTTTAATACCCGACGTTAATATAAAAAAACGCGATAAAATCCGTAAAAGTAGTTTTAATCAATGTATAGTGTTTATAGTGTTCGCGTAAATATAAGAAATCATTATATACACACACACACACACACACACACACACACACACACACACACACACACACACACACACACACACACACACACACACACACTCACACTCACACTCAACACACACACACATATACCTTGATTACTTTGTATTTTTTTTTCATTAATTACAGCGAAGTTTTTCCAGCAAAATAATATGTGGACATTTCCATCGCTAAAAACTTTTTTTGGATTACGAAATAATACAGTTTTTTGCAAGTAGTAATTGCATAGAAGAAGGAAAACAGAGAGGACGGTGATGTATGGATTCGGCTCTGTTTTTTTTTTCGTGTTTCTAAGATCGGTTGATTTAATATTTTTGTTTATCCTTTGTGTTGGTGTTGGTTTTAGTAGTTATAAACCCGTAAGAATTTAGTAATTGTGTTGTTTTATATATAATTAGTCACAATAAAATGGAGGAGGATCCTCCCGACTCCGACGGAGTTCCATGTGCTACCCATAATGTTCCCAAAAAAATATACCGATTGAAATCTAATAGTAAATTCAGTTCTCATAAAAGATTAATTACAGAGCCATCTCAACCTGTACCATCTACTCAGTCCTCTTATATCTATCCTGACTACATAGAAAAAAACATAGAATACTATAATTACATACATAATAGAACGTGGAGTGGACGGAGCCCGTGTAGTCACTAAAATGTCACTAACACGTCAATTCACACGTATAAATGTCAACACGAGATGTATTTTGACGTTACAATCGTTTCCAAATTTCGCATGCAAATTATTTAGAAAATGCCAAATTGCACGCTATTTACAAATAAATACGTATTAAAATCTGTCTGTCAACACAGCAAATCGGGTTGGTAGTAGTGATAATACTATGTAATTGCTTGTATGTGGCGACGATGTAGGCGACGCCTATCCTCGTAAAAATACGGTTAACTGTCATTCTATTATGTATTATAGTATTCTGTGGAAAAAAGCACTCTAATGACGACAATTCGCCCTTTATTGTATAAGTAAGATAGTAGTTTTAAGATCGATAAAGTTTGGTCATTTTCTCAATAAAGTTTGGTCATTTTTCATCAATCAAGGTTCTAGCTGGTTGTGGCTCAATTACTAAAGCTCGCTGATTTAATAGATAATCAGTTAACAAAGACCATAGCACTGTGTGGATTCCCTCTCATACAGTTGTTTTAACTTTTTCTAGCCAGAAACTTCCTTCTAACATTTATTGCTTTTTCACTTCAATGCCTGTTGAGCCCTACATTGTATCACTTATTCAATGTCACAAATGTTGTCGTTTTTTACATGTAACTTCACAGTGTAAGTCATATTTCCGTTGTTTTGTGTGTGCTCATAATCATGAAGGAATATCATGCAAAACACAGTCTCCTACTTGCCTTTTTTGTTCAGGATCTCACACAGCTAAAGATCCTTCCTGCTCCGAACATTCTAGGTATAAATTTAGAGAATATTTCCTATTTAGAAGCTTTTGCGCGCAACCCTCAAGTCCGGAGAACTTATGCAGATACTGCTAGATCCCTCCCTTCAGACAGTCATCAGAGTCTCTGTCCTATTTTTAACACACAGTCCACCTTATGGTAAGTGGACGCTGTGACCCATAGACATCTACATTTATCCTCGATTAAGAATCAAAACGCAGATGCAAATTATTTAGAAATTATTTAGAAGATGATGCGTCGATGACTGCTGGACTGGAAGAAACTATAATCATTAAAGAGGGAGCTAAAGTAGTGCTTAGAAGAAATATTGATGTTAGTTTAGGTTTAGTGAATGGGTCATTAGGCGTTGTACAAAAAGTGAGGTGGGACCCGGAAGACCAAACAATTGGTAGTAAAATTCGCTAATAATTTGATTCACGAATTAATAATGCCTATTAAGTCAAAATTTGAGATCATACCCCGGGCATACTACGTGTCAATCAATTCTCCTAGTTCCCATACAGTCAATCTTTCATTTAAATTCAGGTTAAAATATGACACATTAAAAGCAAATTGGCATCTGTATTCTACAGTTTTAGAGGAAGAACTTACAGTGCTTCCTCCTGTTCAGAAAGAGAATGTTCTTCAGGTGTACTCTTCTTTCAAAAATGCAATTTTACCTCCTGCCAATAAGAAAATTTCCCATCAAAAACCTTATAAATAATCTTCACCACCTTGGTGGGATCAAAATTGTTCTGTAGCGTGTAAGGTGAGAAAAGTTGAAGTTGAAGTTGAAAGTTGAAAAAAGTGAGTTGTATACTGTTCTTTGTGCCCTTAAAGATTCTTCACCAGGGATTGAAGGAATTCCTTATTCTTTCATTACTAATAGCATTGAATCTACGAAAAACGATCTTCTTTCTGTTTTGAATTACATTTACATAACCGGTAATCCTCCTGAAGAATGGAAATCCTAAATTATCTTGCCAATCACAAACCAGGTAAGCCTTACACTGATCCCTCAAGCTACCGTCCCATTGCTCTTTCTTGTACTATGGCCAAAATTCTTGAACACCTAATAAAAAATTGTTTGGAATGGTTTCTTGAAAGCAAAAAAACCAATTTGTATTCCGAAAGGGTTTAAGCTCTATGAATAGCCTTAGTACTCTAGTAACTAATATTCGTATAGCTTACTCTAAACATAAAGACCTCGTTGGAGTCTTTCTAGATATCTCGTCTACATGTTGCAACCAATGATTTCAAAAGGAAGGATAGGCCCATCTAAATATTTTACTCATAACTTTTTCGTACAGGATAAAGTAGCGCATCTGTCATAATACAAACGTCATATTAAAACACCACGTAACCAGGGTCGGATTTCGTAGTATATTTATCCCAATTGTATTATTATTTCATAGTTTGTGTGTGTCCTTTTACGTTAATATTAACCCTACAATATCGAGAATTTCTATATTGTACATGAGTACCGCGTTTTTGTTAAAATAAAATTTGAATTAGCTCCCTTTCTGGTTAATCGATGAAAAAAGAAACATGAAACATCAAACGTGATATATTTTTTTAAAAATAGTGTAATTTTATTTTCTATGTACAATAATTTTGGGGATCTGAATCCAACCCTGACCTAATCTTGGTAACGTAACTAAACTGTAAAATAAAACTTTAAAAATGCGTTTATATAATAATTTAATTGTAACAAAATTAATATAAGGTTATTTACCGATGATACGATATCCCATGTTTCTTTTAAATCTTTGTATCGTAATTTTGCGTTCTTTTACCACGCAACTAGACATATTTGTGACAATCTGTCAAAAAATCAAATCTGTCCTGCGCGCGCACCACTGTCACCGATTCGCGTTGGCCTTAAACTTTAATTATAGGGCCAACGCACTGGTCCGTTTTAGTTGTTCGGTCGGCCCGGTCCTTACGCTAGTAATATATAAGTCAATGGTTACAACGCACTTCTTCCTGTGATCAGACAAAAAATACTTAATCTGTGGTATTCCAATGAGGATAGTAAATTTTGTCTCTTAACTTACTCACTTCTAGAACCTTAGGTTATATTGATATAGTTCGTACCAAATCGATTGAGAAAAACGGACATTGACCTTTCGGTCGTTTAACCAGGGGCTACAAACCACAGAGTACCTTTATATATACTGAAATAGAAACCTATCTTCGACCTTTAAAATGGTAACGCGTAACTGGAGTCATCTCTTACAAGAAGTAAGCAACTTTTTTAATATCTATAATATATATAAATAAAACTCTTTACTATGTTTACATAATTTATTTAACGCGCATTACAACTTTCAATTATGTAGCTAAAAATTGTACATTTTATTTAAAATGATAAGCGTCAATCATTTCTTGAATGATACAATAACAAAATTAAGTACGTTTGGAATTGCGGCACTTGAGACTTGTTTAAATTTTATTTTTTGAAGCAGTTTAGTTTAATATGCGACCAATTTTTGCTACTTTCAGTGGTAATAACTACAAGTACAAAACTACATCTGGCAATCCAGCAGTACACCGATTTTCTTAGAGGACATGATAATGGTCAACTCTGCTATACTTTGTTGATTTAGATTCTTTACATCATGAAAATTTTAAGTAAATATTTTGTAAATTTGAGTTACATTTACATTTATTATTCCCGCCGTGGATATTTTAACCATTTGAATGACAATGGCAATATATATGCCATCATGTTCTCATTTTCACATTTACAGACGAACAGATTATGGTTGTTTGATTTTTGCAACAGAGAACGAAGCACTAAATAAATAAAAAATATGACATGCGACCACATTGACATCTGTCACTTGTCAGAGAAAGACTTTCGTGACGAAGTACGTATTTTGTGGTTTTCAGTTACATCTCGATTTATCTCTAAATCTGACTACCTTTTTGTAAGTACTTACATTTATTTTATGAGTTGTTTATTATTCTTGACGAATCATTGAATATTTTTGGAAAACAATAAATATTGTTTACGTAATTTTCGAAAATCATGTAGGCAATATATATGCCACTGTCTGTATGCCATAAGGGTACGACGGCAACATGTTGGCCAGTTTAGTATTGTATTAGGTACCTACATATTTATATTTTCTTTTGTGTATTTTATAGGAATATGGATCGTCGTGAGGTGAATCTGAAACCTGATGAAGTAGAAAGAGCGTTAGAAGAATTATTTGGTTTCAGTGATGGAGCGAGATCTGAAGATGAAGCGGAGGATTCCGATGTAGAAGATTTTTCTGGTATTTTGTCGTCAAATAACTATGACCTAATCAACACTAGGATCTTTCCATAACTAAGCCCTCGACCAACTTCATCACCTCAACCAGGGCCCTCAAATGAAAATGTTATGCAGCTACCCCCACCAAGAAGTTCGCGACACAGTCCTTCACTTATAGAACATGAACTTCAAGAAGATTTTGATCCATGAGAAATTGAGGACTCAGACGGATCCGATGCAGATGAAGACGAATGGAAAAAGTAGCCTGGTCACAGAATCCCGTAGTTACTCTTTTTGATTCTATTCAATTACAACCAGTTCGGAACATAGCCAATAGGACAAGGCCACTCGTATTTTTTTGAAATGTTTTTTGACTCTGAAGCTATCGATATGATTGTAACCCAAACTAACCTCTACGCATCACAATGCAATGACCAAAATTGTGAACAGGTGTCAGCAACAGAGATCAAAGCTTTATTGAGCATGATAATTCAAATGGGCATTCACAAATTACCCTGTATAGAACATTATTGGTCCAGTGACCCATTACTGCATGTTGTTGAAATTGCTGAGACAATGACATTGAAGCGATTTCAAAAACTAATGAAATATTTACATCTCAATGACAATGCCAATATGCCTAACAGGAACGATGATAACTACGACAAACTGTATAAAATAAGGCCGCTGCTAGATTACATCAACGTAAAATGTCAGACAAATGCCAAAAACACACATTCTCAGTCAATCGACGAGTGTATGATAAAGTTCAAGGGGCGATCTACTCTAAAGCAATACATGCACATGAAGCCCATAAAACGGGGCTTCAAGGTTTGGGCTAGAGCAGACAGCCACTCAGGATACTTAACGAAACAGGATTAGGCAGTAATGTTGTCATGACATTATGCCAGTCACTCATAAATGAAACCTATATGGGTCATATAGCATTTGATAACTTTTTTCTAGTCCAGCTTTACTACAAACGTTATACAATAATGGTATATATGCAACTGCTACAGTCAGAAATGACCGCCAAGATATGCCACTAATTGTAAAAAAGCCTAAAGCGACTGGTAATAAAGAAATTGATGAAAAGATAGCAAAGGCTGTAAAAAATGCAAACCAAAAAACAAAAAAGCTGAAAAGAAGAGAATGGAATTGGAGGGTAAAAAATAATGTTGGGTATATTATCTGGAAAGATAACAAATTAGGAAGCGTTTTGAGCACTGCATTTTATCCAAAGCAGAAAACATCTTGTGAAAGAACTCAAAATAATGGATCTAAAAAATCATTCCCTTGTCCGCTGACAATTATAGAATACACAAAGCGTATGGGAGGAGTAGACCGGTTTGACCAAAAGAGAACCCCATACGCAGTCAGAAGAAAAAACTCGAAGTGGTGGAAATGCATCTTCTATTTCCTTATTGATGCTGCAATAACAAACGCGTATATATTGTATGCTTCTAACAGACGTAACCACACGGTATTGTCTCAAAAGGAATTTAGGCTGACATTGTCTCGAGAATTAGTAGCAAACGCAACATTCCGAAAAAGACCCTTTGCCACCATGCAAAAGTTCGCGTCCAAAAAAAGTAAGTCTGTACAATCCGAAGAAAGTGAATCAAGGCAAAAGAAACTATTTGGCGTGCCTCGAGAAATTCGTTTTTCTGAGCTGGGAGCTCATTGGCCTGTAGAATTACCCACCTATAGAAGGTGTCGCTTGTGTAGTAGTGCACACAATAATCAACGATCCAGGATACAATGTGATAGGTGTCAAGTGCCATTGTGTGCAGTGCCTTGCTTCAAAAATTACCATCAAACAGATAAACAAATTGGTAAGGCTAGACTGATGTTGGTTTATATGTTGCCATCATGTTTTTTTTTCTATATAATTAATAAATAATAATTAAAATAAAATGTTTAAAAAAATATATGATTCCACGTAGTGAAGTTTTATTTCATTATCTAGGCTCATTCCCTCTACCAGTTAAAGGGTTAAATGAATTATAAGTAAATGTTTTGTAAATTTGAGTAATATTTACATTTACTGTTTCCGCCATGGATATTTTAAATACATCTTAAATAAATACCTTTAGCAACTGACCTAAGCAGTCCAAGTATAACTTCAAGTACAAAACTACAAAGATTATTAAAATTGATTTTTGATTAGAAAACATCCATCGGTTAACCCTTAATAAGGCAATAGGAACATTATTCCCACATTGAATTTCACAGTTTAAACGGTCAATGGGACGTATTTTTCCATGAGCTGTCACTGTCATTTCGTAGTTGAATATATTATCTATGTTTTATAGGCCTGTGATCGTGTTTACGAACGAAAGAAAAAATAAAAAAGAGATGTCAACGTCATTGTCACAATAATTACTCACCGGTAATTATATTGGGTGCGTTTGGCAGAAAAAAGCGCTAGCAAGCGCTTGTAAGCAAAATGGCGATCGTAAGCGCTAAGCGCTGTCAAATCGTAAGTAGCTATTTTCCTCCAGGACACGATGTTAGTTTTAACCGGGGAACCTAACCTAATTTAAATATATGTTTGTAAAGTATTTATATTAAAAAACTTACCGATCATGAATTTTTAATAACATGTATATGTTTATTCATGTCATTATATTACTTAAAACTATTATTGCACAAAACAACTTATAAACTCTACTTCAAAACAAACAAATTAAATAAGCAAAATGGCGGATTGTGTCAGCGCTACTGAAGTAGCAATCGTGTCCTGGCCGAAAATTATTTCAGCGCTTATAAGCGCTTGCTAGCGCTTTTTTCTGCCAAACGCACCCATAGTTATGCAGTTTTGTTAATGAAATAGATAATATGTCGAGAAAAAATCCGGTAAGTGTTCATTTTTGGTTATTTTGCATAGATGTAATGTTTTTTCAGTTGTTGATGTGTTTTATTTTTCCAAATAACAAAAAATGACTTGGTTTGATGGATTCAAAGTATGTGGGAAATATTTGCTTGTTGCCCGTTTAGGTTTCCTACGTAACGATTTATGTGGGAAAACTGTTTCCGTAGGAAGCATGCAGGATTTCTATTTATCTCATAAGCACTGTTTTACGTTTCAGAAACCACTTCACGATTCTGAAATTGAGATCCAGCTGTCACAGTTACTTTGTTCATCGGAAGAAGAAAACCTTGATGATGAAGCAGTTGACTCTTTTGCCACCAGTAGTTACAATGTCGATTTAGACAAGCGTTTGGATGAGATTCAAGGTATTTCTGTCGAAGAATTACATTCTTTACTGGTGGGAGAATCAGATTTGTCTCTTATCCAAGATGAAACTTTTTTGAATTCACCAGTTCAACAGATTTTTAAGCCGATTCTTCCTCAAGTGGCTTCAACTTCACAAGATGCAATCGCTGAAGTCCATGCAGGCCCTTTTCATGTGATTTCGGATGTTCCTATGCTACTTGATCAAAATCCTGGTGAAACAACCTCACTTGTTTCTGTAGCTGATGTCCAGGCAGACCACTCTTCCCCAGTACCACTATTGGCAGAGCCTGATGAAAGCTCTAATGCAGATCCAACATCTTCTTTCTCTAGGGATAAATTCATTCGATTTCAAAATAAATCAAGAGATTGGTCTTTTGCAACTGATGATATTACTTGGCCTATTTTCGAGAAGAAAATGCAGATAAAAAAAAATTACAATAATAGAAGTCAACAACTGGATTATTTTCTTGACTTTTTCCCTGATGAGTTACTTTATATTATTGTTGAAAATACAAATATTTATGCAAGACACAAACATTCAAAAGCTTGGACCGAAGTTACAAAAGAAGAAATAAAAGCATACTTAGGAGTGATTATACTAATGAGCATAAATCCATTAGCAGATATAAATACTTATTGGTCAACTGATGAGTTTTTCAGAAATCCTGTTATTTGCAAAGTAATGCCCTTAAAAAGATTTAAAAAAATAACACAAAATCTCCATATATCAAATATTTCCACAGAAGCTCCACGAAACTCACCAGATTATGATAAATTGGGTAAAATTAGACTTTCCATTTCAATCCTAAACAAAGTTTTTCAAGACAATGTTTAAGTGTCAGAATTTAATTCAATAGACGAAAGTATGATCAGGTTCAAAGGTCGTAGTCACATGAAGCAGTATATGCCCAAAAAACCTATAAAAGGTGGGTACAAGTGTTGGGCAAGAGCAGATTCTCTTACAGGGTATTTATATGAATTTCAATTTTATACTGGTAAAGTTAATACTGGAACTGAAGAGAATTTAGGGGCCAGAGTCATAATGGATTTGTGTGAATCTCTGCCAAGCCATACATTAGTGGCTTTTGATAATTTTTTTCACCAGTCTGCCACTGATGGAACTTTTACATGAAAGAGGCATTTACTGTGTTGGAACACTAAGAATGAACCGTAAGGGCTTACCAGATTTGATAACAGGAAAAAATTTAACCCCGAAGAAAAGAAAGAAACAGCTTTGAGACCTGGTGAGTTTATATATCAGTATAATACACCTATAGGAGTATTGAAATGGAAAGATACTAAAGATGTTTTTCTTGGAACTACTGCGTTTGATCCTCGAGCAGTTGAATTGATTGAGAGGAAACAGAAAGATGGTAGCAAGAAGAAAATATACTGTCCACTTTCGATTAAAAAATATACAGAGTTCATGGGTGGTGTTGATCATTTCGATCACATTAGAGCATCATACCCCCTAGGACGAAAGTCGCGGAAGAATTGGCACAGACTTTTTTGGTTCTTGTTGGAGGCAGCCGTCATCAATTCTTATATTGTTTATATGACGTCACATTCAGAAAGCAGAAACACCCATAAAGAATTCCGGTTGCGATTGGGCAGAGGACTCATCAACAATTTTTCATCAAGAAAAATCCTCGCGCCCGTGTTCAAAAACAAAAAAGGAGGTACCATTTCAGTACCGGAAGAGATTCGAAAATCGGACGTAGGATCCCACATGCCCGAATTGACCAAATTTCGAAGATGCAGAATGTGTAGTACACGTGAAAAGGAGCAACGCAGCAAATATATGTGTAAAGTTTGCAAGGTATCTTTATGTGCTGCCCCTTGTTTTGAAATGTTTCACAAATAAAATAAATGAGATATTATCTTTCAATTTAGTGTTACTGATATGAAATCCTAAATCTGTATGTACCACTAATTACATACTAGCTTTGAAACTTTTGCAAACATCCACAGTTTAGCCATGCCCTATTAAGGGTTAATAACAATTTCAACTACATCTGGCAATCCTGCTGTACACTGATTTTCTTAAGAGGACATGATCATGGTCAACTGCTATACTTTGTTGATTTAGATTCTTTACTTATTAATCATACTATACTATACGATACTAAGTAATCTCAACATCTATTTAAAAAATTATGAAAATTAGAACTAAATATTTTGTAAATTTGAGTAACATTTACATTTATTATTTCCGCCGTGGATATTTTAAAGAATTATAAGTAAATGTTTTGTAAATTTGAGTAATATTTACATTTACTATTTCCGCCGTGGATATTTTAAATACATCTTAAATAAATACCTTCAGCAACTGACCTAAGCAGGCCAAATATAGACAGAGACATACATTAAAAAGTATGTTTGATGCTACATTATAAACTCAATTGCCAATCTTTATAGCATAAGTGTGATAAATATATACACATACACATCCATCCTCAACCAGTCACTAAAATGCAGATGCGTTGTAACCCCTGAAGACTAATGTCTCACTTCCAGTAAAAAGGGTCTTCGGTTCTCTACACTCGCCATAATAAACATAGCAGCATTATAAACATATTGAACTCCTAATTTACACTGCTATTCTGTGAAAGCATGGTCCTCCCCCGATCGAGATGACCCATTCATATTACAATACCTTAATATAGCTGTGGTGTGGCTCTACCTTATACCTGGATGTCAATGGTTAATTTTTTCCTTTTAAAAAATTTTTTTTGATATTTTTTAGCTTTTATTTGCATTTTATCTTCTTCGTCCTCAACATCATGTCTCCCAGATAATATTCTGTTTATTACTTTACAATAGTTATGGTTCATGTAACGAATGACAGTATTGATTAAATATTCAACTGTTTTATTTTTATGTAAGACACATTGTATAAATTCAAAATCTATTAGTGATACAATAGAAGTCTTTAATATTTCTTTTAAGTGGAGAGCTTCTAAGTTTTTTGTAACAATATGCTTTATAATGTCCTGTAAGTTTGAAATCAGCTCTATTAACTTATTACTGGGAGAACAAAGCCATCGTCGACCTGCATACTCTCTATATTTTATGTATTCTATTTGATCATCACTAGAAAAAATATTATTACATATGAAGCAATTTTTAAAAATTTTTGTTCGTTTTTTTTTTCAAAAAATAACCACTAACATATTGTTGAGGTGTAAATACTCTAGGGTAATTTTTTTATCTCTACACTTTCTAAATTAATGTCTAATATATTGTCTAGATTAATGCTGGTCGACGTGGCATTAGCATTTCCGTTGAGTACGAAAGAATATAAAGCATTACACATGTCATTTTCACAGTTTTTTTCCTTGGGTGTGGACACTGCTTAAATTATTTATTAAAAGCGTGGCAAAAACCGATTCGAATTGATCGCAAGTAGGGTTGTTGTTGCGACAGCCATGGCTTCTCACCGCACTAAAGAAATTTTCAAATGGATCCTGATTCAGGTGCCGCAACCATACTGACGATATATTATGTTTATCTTTTAATTTCTTTAACAATATTTGAATTCCTTTCAGTGTCCACACCCAATTAGCCACAGTGGGAACAGTTTCTTTTTTACCACTGGCAGTTATGAATGACATTGTTTCAAACATTTGTATGCCTTCCACCCATGTTTTATGGTGTACAGAGTTAGGTGTTACTGGACCAAGTAAGGGTTTAGCATATTTGTTCTTAACATTACTTCCATTGACTGAATCGAATATGTTGTCCATGAAAATTAGAAGATCCGCCGTGTCCTTGCATTCTGGGCAGTATGTCCTTATCTGAAACATGAAATAAAAACTATTCATAACTCAACTTGTGGAATAGATAGAATATTTTCTAAAGATAATATAATATATAATTATATTTTGTTGATTATCTTAAGAAGGATTACAGGGGTTACAATTGAGTTTGCAGAGCTAAAAGGTCTTTTAGCAGTCATTCCTAATAATTTATCTATCTGTGATTTTTATTATTATCCACTAGTTTGTTCTACTATAGAAAAATTTGACATAACTATGCTCCATTTTTCTTTATATATAAAATATTAAGTGTCACATTGTTTGTCCGCGATTTTCAATGATTTTCAATGAAATTTTGCACACTGTGTGCAATTTGGTTCAACTTAATATATATATATATATGTGTATGTGTGTGTGTGTGTGTGTGTGTGTGTGTGCGTTTGCGTGTGCGTGTGCGTGTGCGTGTGTGTGTGTGTGTGTGTGTGTGTGTGTGTGTGTGTGTGTGTGTGTGTGTGTGTAGTACTAAATGTCGGCGGTAATACCAGTACAACCTCTGCCTTTTTTTTTTATAGAAGAGGGGGCAAACGAGCATGCGGCTCACCTGATGTTAAGTGACTACCGCCGCCCATGATCAACCGCAACACCAGGGGAATTGCAGGTGCGTTGCCGGCCCTTTAGAAAGTAGTAAGCTCTTTTTTTGAAGGTCCCCAGGTCGTATCAGTCCGGAAAAATCGCCGGTGGTAAATTATTTCACAGATAGGTCGTACGCGGAAGAAAACTTCTAGTGAAACATACAGTGGTGGACCGCCAAGCATCCAGATAGTGTGGATCGTATCGGGAGGTTTGCCACGTTGTGCGTTCATGAAATTTGGCGGCTGGGATTAATCCGAACAATTCCTCAGAGCACTCCCCGTGATAGATGCGATAAAATACGCAAAGAGATGCAACATCTCTTCGCAGCGCCAGTGAATCGAGCCGATCGGAAAGCACTCGGTCGTCGACGATTCGAGCCGCTCTGCGCTGGATGCGGTCAAGTGGAAGGAGCTGGTACTGGGGAGCCCCAGCCCAGAGATGGGAACAGTATTCCATGAGCGGCCGAACCTGCGCCTTGTAAAGTTGCAAGCGGTGTGCCGGCATGAAATACTGTCCCACTCTGCTGAGCACGCCAAGCTTTTTAGAGGCCAATTTGGCCTTCCCTTCCAAGTGACCACGAAACTGCACGTCACTCGATATGTCGACGCCGAGGATTCCGATACTGGCTGAGGCAATAAGGGGAGTGCCTTGAAACTGAGGGGATACGACAAAGGGGTTCTTTTTAGCGGTTAACGCGCAAACTTGTGTCTTCTGGGGGTTAAACTGGACTAGATTTAGTCGCCCCCAATTCGAGACTCTGTCCAGCAGAGACTCGACTTCAGACACAAGTTTGTCCCGGCACTCAGAGACGTTTTCCCGAGAAATATTGGCTCGGCCGGTGTAAAGAGCATCACCAGTGCTGTCATCCGCATAGCAATGAATGCTACGGGTTTGCAACATATCATTGATATGCAGAAGAAACAGCGTTGGCGATAGCACGCAGCCCTGTGGAACACCAGCATTAATAAGCTTGCAATCGGAGCTTGCACCGTCTACAACGACCTTGATGCTCCGATCTGCAAGAAAACTGGTGATCCAATCGCACAATTTCTCGGGAAGCCCATAGGAAGGGAGCTTCGAAAGAAGCGCTTTGTGCCAAACCCGATCGAAGGCCTTCGCAATGTCCAAACTAACGGCCAATGCCTCCCCCTTGGACTCTACTGCCTCCGCCCATCTGTGAGTTAGGTAGACCAGAAGATCACCAGCTGACCTACCACGGCGAAAACCGTATTGGCGGTCACTAATCAGCTGGTGATCCTCAAGGTACCTCATGAGCTGGCAGTTTACAATGGACTCCATTGTTTTGGAGAACAAGGAGGTGATGGCGATAGGCCGGTAGTTGGACGGGTCTGAGCGGTCGCCTTTTTTAGGGATCGGGTGGACGAAAGCCGTCTTCCGTGATTTTGGGACTACGCCTAGGGAGTAGGAGTACCGGAAAAGACGCGTTAAAACCGGTGCCAACTCTGGAGCACACGTCCTCAGCACAACTGGGGGGATTCCATCAGGCCCACTCGACTTATGGATGTCCAGGGAGAGGAGTGCGTTGCGAAAACGAGCGCTGAGTGAACTGCAATTCCGGCATGGAGCACTCACACCGCGGGATGGTCGGCGGCGTACTCCCCCCGTCATCGAGAGTCGAGTTAGACGCAAAGAAAGAGCCTAGAAGATCGGCTTTCTCCTTTGCGGTGTGGGCCAGTGAGTCGTCCTCCCTGTGCAGAGATGGAAGAGATGGCTGACAAAAATTCCCCTGGACAGCCTTGGCGAGAGACCAGAATGCACGGGTTCCAGAAGGAAGACGAACTAGTCTCTCGCCAATTCTGCCTACGTGCTCTGACTTTGCCTCGGCAATGACTCTTTTGAAGGACCTAGAGGCGGAATTATACTTCTTTTTTAGAGCGCTGGTGCTTACATCCCTGGACGCTGATGCGTCAGCCCAGGCTCGGTAGCACTCCTGCTTATAGCATGATGCTATTTTACAGGAGCGACCAAACCATGGCTGAGATTTGCCTCCAATGGGCACCACAGAGGAAGGAATAAAAAGTTCCATACCCTGAAGTACCACATCAGCGACAGAATCCGCAACAACGTTGGGATCATCCGGCGAGAAGCAAACCCGCCCCCAAGGGTAGGATGCAAAGAAAGACCGCATCCCATCCCAATCGGCTGACCTATAGTGCCAAACACGGCGGCAGCCTGCAGAATGCAACCGCGATTTCAGCGTGAGTGGCACCACACTCCGGACAAGACAATGGTCCGAGGAGCCTAAAGGGGCGTCGACGGAAATCTGATATCCGTCCGGGTGAGAGGTCAGCAGAAGGTCCAACAGGGAAGGTGCATGATCCTCCACATCTGGAATCCGCGTAGGCGAAGTAACCAGTTGTGTCAGACCATATGCCAAGGCAAAATCATGAACAGATCTCCCCGCATGATCGGTTAAACGTGATCCGAGCCATTCGGCGTGATGCGCGTTAAAGTCGCCGAGGATCACGATCTCTGCGGAGGGGATCTGCTGTAGCAACGAATCTGCAGCCATTTGGACGTGGTCGAAGAGTCGGTCTGTTTCGGCATTACCGCTATGGGACCTATAGAGGCACCCGTAGACGCGCGGATGGTCGTCGCTGTCTACGCGTAGCCAAAGGATGGACAGATCCGAACCTTCAAGTCTGCCGAGGCATCGAGAACAGATGTCCTCTCTGACGTAAACGCAAACTCCAGCCCGAGGCACAAAGGAGTGTTCCAGTTTGTACCCCGAACAGGAGAGATACGAGACATCAGCCGGAGAGGACACCTGCGTCTCGGTCAGAAAGAGCAGAGCCGGCCTCGCCGTCTCGAGATGGTAGTGGATGGCGTTTAGGTTAGAGTGAAGTCCCCTGATATTGCAGAAATTCACGGACAGCGTGGCAGGGGTCGCCTTGGTCTTGTTGCTCCGTTTGCCCCGAGCAGTTTTAGTCTTGAGCGGAATATTGCCCCCCCCCAGAATACGCGGGGCAGCCTGAGCACCCACGCTCAGAAGTGGAGAAACATGGTCGTGGATGCTCAGCGAGGGATTCTCCAGGGGTGCTGGTACCCTCCTGGGGTAGTCTATCATTTAATTCCGCTACCATGTTGATGGGGGGGCGGGAATTGGGCCTCCGGCCACCTGCACTCACCAGACGGAACGCGGAAGCAGAGCTTCCACTTCACGCCGGTATTCTGTGAGGTCGTGGTACCACCCCGGTTTGAGCCGGCCCATACGTGCGACAGCAAAGCTGCCGCGTGGCTCTACCACTGTTAAAACCTGGGCAGCTAGTAGAAAAAATCCAAGTGTGTGTTTTGATTATTATTAATGTACTTAATGTTGTCACCTACATGGTTTTTACCTATAATTAGAGCCGATAGGTGGCGTTGTTGTACAGATATAGATATCACCTGTACGAAGCTGGAGTGAATCACTAGTACAATTATTTAATGAGTGATATGAAGTCTACGCAGACAAAGTAATGAGAAATGGGTAGCACTGTAATAAAATAAAATGAACCAAACATTACCTGCTAAGTATCCTATGTCACATGATGACATGATGCCACAGTACAGCTAAATATTTGAGAGGCAAATTTCACTTTCATTTTATTCAGTTTTTCAGGGTTGACATGATTTTCATCAACTTAGGGATCAATTTGATGCCCTTGTAACCAGGGTTTTCATTATATAGTAATTGTAAATTAGACCATTTTGCGGTTTTTATCGTGCCTTCTTTAGTGTAATATTGTAAATTTTTGGTAATAAGGTTATTTCTCATTCCTTTGAGGAGGTGTGGGGGGTCATACAAAGGAATGACTTCTTGGTTATTGATTAAGATAATATTTTCTTTTGGTTCCTCTCCTTTTCTTAAAGAAACCCCTCCAGTCTCATTTATCAAAAGTTTAAGAGCCTGTCTATTATTGGTTGATAGTAGTTGAGGCCACCACTATCAACCCTGCATCTTGCAATCCTGTCACAACCTCTTTTAATTGTTTTGCCAACGCAGGTTCCTTAGTTGCACTTGATGAAAAAGTGTAAGAGACTGTCTGTTCGTAGTTATGCATAAGACCACGCACCATAAAAACTTGGGTGTGATCTGCAAATTCCGCCTTTCTTTCCTGCCCATTATCAACAAGTCCTGATATTTTATCTTTCCTCTCTTGATATGTAATATTGGCTTTGAGTGAAATTTCGTCAAACAAAATAATATATAGCTTCTCTTGGGGTTTCATTGACTCAGCTTTCGTCTTTAGTTGTGAGAAAATGTTATCATTAATCAATTTAACAAGAGTTTGTTTAGCTGGTAAAATAAAAATTTTCCTGAGGAATCGATATCCTTTGGGACTTTGCTTCAAAATCGATAAAGCAGCAATTTTTTCCTGTAATGTGAAACGGCGTCCTTTTTCCTTTTTTCGGTTCTCACGCTATTGTAATTGCATCAATAATTTTGCAGTACTTGAGCAATTTTCGAGGACATCTAAGACAGTAGGATTAGTCACTATTTTTTTTTTCTGCTTTAATATTGGCTCTCTGTTTTTTAACTTTGTTTTTCATTTTACAAATTTTTATTCTTGCAGCTACAAGTTTCTTATGTATTTCTTTTTCTGCCTTTGTTAAAAATATTTGTTTGGTATTTTTCTTGGCAGCCTGTTTTTCACCTGTAAAGAATGGAATACCGAGACATGGTTAATATATTATACCGCATATATTTTTTGTAAAGGTGTATGTTTAATAAACTTAACACAAAATTCATAATTTCAATATTTTTAATATCTAGGTCTTGTTTTCAAAATCAAAACTAATTTATTTTTATTTGTGTTCAATCATCATTTCATTAGTGACACTAATATAACACTTACTTAGATTATGTTCCATACTTTTCACTGGAAGATTTGAAAGTGGCATATTATGCTCATGCACCATAAATGTATCTGGACCTGAAATGGGTATGAATTTATTTTATTTTTGTTATAAATGTTCCAAACACAATAGATAAATTAAGGAGTCTGTAGTGTTTTCTTACTTTAAATGAATCAATCAGACATATAATTAAATGGTTCCAAAGAAATGGTTATTGTTAATTTAGACAAAACTAAAGCTAAGCAATTTTTTCCTCAATCAAAACCAAAAACTATAATAATACAATATGAACATAAAATTAAATTACAAGTAAAAGAGATAACTTTTATGCCTAATATTGGATGTCATGGATAAACAATTTATTTTAAATTATAATAATAACTATATGACTATTTTGTAATTTTAATTTGCTGACATTCTGTAAAATAATTGATGCATGTAAAACAAAATTTATTTAAATTCAAGAACTTAAATTCAATTTGAATGTTGTTGTAGGTATACTAAGCCTGGCAAAATATGGATCACATTGTATTTTTATTTTGTAATCTTTTTTCCATTGCAATAAACGATTATGATTTATGATTAATGCCTATGAATATATTTTTAAATAAGTCAACATAATATGAAACCAAGTATCTGTGCATCATTTACCTGTGCACAATTTTCATTGTAACTTCTGTACAGATTTTATTTTGGTTGTTACTGATAAAGAGTTTTTCAGGAAAAATGTGGATAATAAACTTTTATGTAAACAGTAAAAAACCATGCAGAGTTAAATAGAACATATAGTTAAAAAATGTTAAGTAATTGGGTGTAACATGCTTGATGTGACGTGTGAATTGTCAAAAAACTGTTAACTCCATGATCCCACTAATGAATGAATAAAATTAATCCCACACAGCAAGTCTTTATTTGGTCTAATTAGCAGCAAGTGAATTTATATTATTTATTTCGTTTAGTCAGAAATAACAAAGTACAAAAAAACTAGTGTACTTACCTATATTCTCTTTGTGTATGTCAACTTTTTAAACGTTCGTTGATGTAGGTTGAATATATGCACAATGAGTTGAAATGGTATCTAGAGAAAAATACATCAATAAATAAGGATTAATTCTATGATAATGAATATTATAAATGATCTAATTATATGCAACAACTGGCTGTTCCCCGCAACTTCAGCAGCATGTAATTTAGTTTAGGGTTTTAGAATAAAAGTAACCTAAGTTACTTCTTATAACATCAGCTATCTGCCAGTAAAAAACCCATCAAAATTGGTCCAGCCGTAACAGAGCTTTGCCGGATCAAACAGACAGATGGACAAAAAATAAAAAGTACATAATAAAGTATACACTTTCATATGCATTTAGTTAAACTTAAATTTTATTTATTTGTATGGATATAGATGTAGCATATATTTCATTTCAACTACTCAATTGATATACTGCAGCTAAATTACCTGATGATTTTGATGGTTTTTGTAGGTCCAGAATTTGTTGCAGTGGCTGTCTTTTAACAGATGTATTAATAAACCTTTTTAGTAATAATGGTCCTGAAAAGGAGAGGATCAATACATCACAATAAATATAAACATAAATACTGCAATGATAGCTTTGTGGTATGACTTAAGGGTACACTAGTCACTCGTTCTTCCATACAAACATAGTCTGGCGATTATTCTACTATTTGATGGTGTACGTATAAAATAAAAAATGATTTCAATTTGTCTCATCATTATCTAGCCCTGTATGGAAACAAAAAAGTAAAAAAAAACATTATGTTTAACCCCTAAGATACCGTGGACATGTTGACAGGTCCAAGTTTTGTGACCGCTAAGTACCGAGGACATGTATACATGTCCGCATTACGTGCTGCTATTTTCGTCATTAATTGATATAAAAATATAGTATATTTTCGATTGAACACTATTTCATTCGATTCTGAACGAACTAAAGAATATTCTATAGCATTATATTCATTCGGTTACATAGACATCATCATTCATCAAATATAACAGCCATTCGCTTTTGCGTGCCGGTGAGGTTGGTTGCGTAATCGTTGAAGTTTTGTGATTGTGATTTTAGTTGGATTTCCTTTCAAAAAAACTGTAAGTAATGTTATTTATCTTTACTACGTAATGTTTTTGAATGATTTAAGTTACAACAACAGTAACTTTTTATGTTTCAATTGATAAAAAAGTAGAAATAAAAAACCTCTACGCGAACAATTCGTAACGGTCAAGATTTCTAATAAGATTCTATTAAGATAATAATAGTATATTTCTTATTGGAATACCATAGTAAATACTTTTACTAGTAATTGCTAAATGTTATATCTATATGATTTTATAAGAAAAATAAAGAAAGACGATATAAAATATATACACAAAAAGGTTTTGAAAATGAGTTTAGGTAAGCGCGCGCAAACTGTCTATTGTCGAATTTTTAGCAAATGTTTGCAAGTGAAAAAGTAGAATTATTATAATTATTACATGCATAATTTCGGTTCATTTAGGAAGAATATGTTGTATTGATTGTAAGGACATAAAAATAAAATAAAAACTTACGATGTTTCATTCATAATATAAAATTTATCGTCAGTAAGTTGTAGGTCCAGAATTTGTTGCAGTGGCTGTCTTTTAACAGATGTATTAATAAACCTTTTTAGTAATAATGGTCCTGAAAAGGAGAGGATCAATACTTAAGTAGAGCCATCATTAATAATAATATCACAATAAATATAAACATAAATACTGCAATGATAGCTTTGTGGTATGACTTAAGGGTACACTAGTCACTCGTTCTTCCATACAAACGTAGTCTGGCTATTACTCCACTATTTGATGGTGTACGTATAAAATAAAAAATTATTTCAATTTGTCTCATTATTATCTAGCCCTGTATGGAAACAAAAATAGTTTGCAAGTGAAAAAGTAGAATTATCATAATTATTACATGCATAATTTCGGTTCATTTAGGAAGAATATGTTGTATTGATTGTAAGGACATAAAAATAAAATAAAAACTTACGATATTTCATTCATAATATAAAATTTATCGTCAATAAGTACACTTTATCAAGATCCGTTAGAAACAAAGAGCTGTACAAAATAACATAAACATTTATATGTTATGGTTATTGTTTCTACTTATCGAAAATCTTATCGGCTTTAAATAACTGTAACTAAAACCTCTTTAAACATAAATGAAAGGTCGTGAGAAACATAAATATTTAAAACAAGTGCCGCCAGTTGAGGTGACGACGGACGCCTCGGTACAAAGCTGTTTTTTGTTATGGCGGGCGCAGTGAGTGATAGGTTAAAAGTTATAAGCGTCGAAAATTCCGAATTTCATCACTATTTTTAACACATCTTTGGACGGAAATAAATACCATGAGAAGAACGAAAATTGCAAAACAGTTACCATACAGGGATAGATTAGTTGTTCAAAGATGCAAATAATTTTATTTTGAACAGATACATTCAATAGATTTTTCATGACGTTCAGACTCCCAAAGGTCTGTTTATAAAATTTCGCGCGCTCCTTTTTGTTGTAAATCATAGATAAATAAATATGTAGCAAGTTGTAAATCATCTTGCCTTTCGCTACAAATTGTTTCCCCGTCAGTCATCAATCAGTGGGATGAACGGTGGGGGGGGGGCGCAGCTCGCACCCACACATGCTCACTAGGTTAGCTGCTGCTATCTATTTATGGTTGTAATATCTACATATTATCTACATCTTTATTTCGAAAAATTGCTTACTTTTGTTCGTGTCCACTTGCTGAAGCAGGGATGAATATAGCTGGTAAAATGTAACCATAAGTTTGTTGAAACACATTTAATTAAAGTTGAAAACAGGTAGGTACATAATAATAAACTTTCGATACAGGTGGTACATTAGGTACTTAACTACTTTAATTTGCCAACTAACGAAAACATCTCATTGATAAGCACGATTGTCGAAAATCTTAAAATTATTTATAAATTAGAATAGGTAATTTTTAGATATTCCACAATCGTGCTTACATATAGGAATCTCATATCCTAATATACCCAATGTAATTTATGTAAGTGCATAAGAATCTAAGAAGGGCAGTCAATGATAAATAAAATTTGTTTTGTAAGTTGTTTTTTTAAAACACTAACACAACAAAAACATGGAACTGAGAAGAAGCACCCGATCTGCCGAAACAAACTCAGAGAGGTCAGACCAGGTATTACATTGGTCATGTCATACAACCAGGCAGGTGGCTAATGGTCCTTTGAAGAAAGAACCATACAAATGTGAGTGGACAACTAAGTACTTTTTAGGAACTAAGTACTTTTTCCGTACCCAAAGGGTAACCAGCAGGGCCCTATTACGAAGCCTCCGCTGTCTGTGTGTCTGTCTGTCAGCGGGATGTATCTCATGATCCGTAATAAATAGGTAGATGGTTGTAATTTTCACAGAACGTGTATTGCTGTTGCCACTATAACAGCAAATAGTTAAAATAAATTTGAAATTAACGGGTTTCCTACTAGAAAAAGAAAGTGTATTTTTGGCTTTTTTTGATAGTGTAGTGGCGCCACTAGCACACCGAAACACACAGAAGCCTAAATCGCGCTATTAACATTCCGAATCATAGACAGTATATATAGAACTTCTCCGAACTATCACTCGGAGTGTTGGCCGCTCCCCGGGCAGAACACCTTGCCCGGCGGGAGATCTCCCCTTTTCCTACTTCGGCCACAGTGGTGACCCCGACGTGATCTGAACACGCAACCAAACAACCTTCGGAAACTTCAAGCTTCATCATCGTCATAGAATACCCCACCCATTCGCTCCCGAGCAGATATCGTCTGCAGTCTTCATATCCTGCAAGCCATCTAGCTTCACAAGGTTCATCGCAGCACTGGAATAATAATGCTTCCTGTTCCTTCAAGCTACTCTCTGCGCTATACAGTGTTCGCCACGGCTCTGAGCCTTACTGCTCGTCTCTGCTTCACGGCACTCTCGCAGATTACTTGCCTTCTTCTCGACTCACCGCAGACTACAAGACAATCTCCTGGCACTTGCACATTCGTCGGCAACGAGGCTGCACTATCGACCTCCAGTCTGAGCAGGGGGTGATGTAGTGGCGCTGTCGTCGCGCCACTAGCACACCGAAACACACAGAAGCCTAAATCGCGCTATTAACATTCCGAATCATAGACAGTATATATAGAACTTCTCCGAACTATCACTCGGAGTGTTGGCCGCTCCCCGGGCAGAACACCTTGCCCGGCGGGAGATCTTCCCTTTTCCTACTTCGGCCACAATAGATAGTAATATGTATATTAAATCTTGAAAGATGGTACGGAAGCTCGGAAGTCGGATTCGCACTTGGCAAATATTTGTTTATATTTAACCTTACCTCAGACATACTCATATTTTTTATATATGATTTACTATACTACTATATAAGCTACTACTAAATAAAATAGTAGTAGCTTTGCTAGTGTATTATAGTATATATTTTGGTTTAGATTTAATTTATTACAGAATAATACGAACTATATTAAAATTAAGGAGCGCATCAACCTACCTCAGATATTGGGTTATGAATACAGATAAGTACACATAGGATTTAGTTTCTAATTTGTACATATTTTATAGCCTTCGTTATCAATAGCATAAACAGGCCAAGCCCCTTAGCCTACAAACGTTTCGTAACGAATCTCTTTCTACAATCGCGCCTTTTATTTGTATGGATTGACCACCTGACTCATTCAGTGATGTCATTCCCATACAGTGTTTAGTTTTCAACTAGCGTTATCTACTATCATAAAATAATTCAAAATATTTATATTTCGCTGATTGTTTCTGTACTGTGAATTTGATTTACAATCAATCTCCAAATTATAGTTTTCTTCTAATTACTTACCTTGTCTAGACATGTTCTTTGGACTTCTGTAAGGAACTAAGGAAGTATGAGCTGTTAGCCCTATTCCGTTTAGGTACGTTACTATTTTGATAGACATTTGTGCTTGTCCCTGCAGTGACGCAATTCCTATTGTTGATAACTTTCTAAGTAGTAAAAGAATATTGCAAACCGCTATTGAACACAAACAATCAATAAACAATGTACAAACTTTTTTATTTATTTAATTAACCTACATAAAAGCCCCACTCACATCACGTCGCGCTGTCAAAAAAGCAGTTATCCTGACACTGGCTGGCATATACTTCGGGGAGTTGCCTGTGGGCTATTATAGCTAACTAGCTATGGTAAGTAAATACCTATTTAGAATACATAGTACCTACAGTAATGTTTGCATAACCTACAATAAGATACAAAATCATAAAAAAAAACATAATTATTTTACACTTTTTTCTGTTTTAGAAGTCGGTTATATTTTTTTCAATTTTTTTTAATGTTACTATTTTTAGTTGAGAGTTATGTCCCTTTAGTGGGTACAGGCGTGATATTATACTATGTGGTTGCGTAAAGAATGCATAGATACGCGATAGCAGCAATCGCGGTTGATTTGCTGTCATTTATTGAAGAGTTCCCTCGATTTCTCCAAGATTCCATCATCTGATCCTGATCTGACCATCATCGATTACCATGGAATCATGTGGAAAGTATATTCTTTCAAACCAAAAAATAGTTTTCCAAATCGGTTCAGGCATCTTCGAGAAATCGGGGAACAGAACATACATAACCAAAAAACAACTAATTGAGAACCGCCTCCTTTTTTCGAAGTCGGTTAAAAAGTAGGTAAAAACAATACAATGAAATTATTATATAATAACAACATCTACTTATATTCACATAAGAACTTTGTAATAACAAATAAATTGGGGTCATAATAATAACACCAATTTGTTTCATCTCTCTTTTCTCTTTTTAAAATACGTTAACCCCATAGTAGGATTTTCTCCAGTTTCATGGAGGCAGTTTACAAACATAAATTGCACAAGAACAAACATCCAGACCCGGAACAACTATTTGTAGGACATACAAATATTTGTTCGGTGCAGGATTCGAACCCGCGGCCCCCAGCGCAGCCTCATTGCAAAGCCACTGCGACATGGAGCTCACTGTTGCCGTTTGAGTTTATGTTATTATTCAAAAATGAATCGCATAGGTAGATACGCGATGACGCTGTCGTGCATTGCATCACTCGAGTGCGTATGTGTGTGCGCACTACCTTCTTACTGCTCATCACTGCGTCTATCCCTTTCGCACGTGATGTCGGCTGAGATAGCATGCATTTTAACCCCGCCCACCATTTAGTTCGAGCTATCGACTAGGGTACCACCTTAAGGTATGAATTATATAATATAATTACTTCCTTATAATTCTCTCTTAACATAGAATGATAGATATAAACTTGACATAAACAAACCTGGCACATTTAACGTTGGCACAGCTATATTGCTAATTTTGTTGTTGCAACGTAGATATTTGTCTTCAAAATGTGAGCGACAAACACGGCGATACTTGTATATGCGCTCACTTTCCAGGTTCAAAATGTCACCACCAATTGCATATCTGTTGAACCATTCTCTATCCCCTATGTTTGGGAACCTATGAAGTACTTTATGTATACCTAAAAACAAATCATGTAATGTGTAAAAACAAGTTAAAAATACATCATTTATATCTAAACAATATTTTATTCTTTTAATGTTTCTGCTGGATTGGCTATACAAATCCGGTACTTGATTTTAATAATGTTTTTAGTCTTAGAAGGCTTGTTAGGGTTAAGCTTAAACCTATTAGATTGTGTTTAGATGTTGGAAATGCGTTTTGAATTAATTACGATAAAAATAAATTTCACTAAAAATTGCTTAGAAAGAAAAGCAGTTTTACCAATTTTTTTGCTTGCTTTGATTTTTTTTATTTTCATGATTTTGAACTTCAGTGATTAACATATTATCTGCCACAACTTCTATATCTGCATATTCTGTGGATTTATTTCATTATTTTGAACAATATACGAAACTTAAGTGACTAAAATTAAATCTAATCTGAACCAGAATCATAAAAACTGTATTATTCGAGCTAAACGAATCTAATAAAGATCAGTTATTTTTGTCTCCTGCGAAAAAAACAGACTATAGGAATCTATCGAATACCTACATAAACAAAATATCACCTATAAATAAAATATTACGAAGCGGAATAACTAATAAGAGTGACAACGTCGCACTATACAAAGGAATTGCGTTAAGACAACACCTCGAAAGGGGCTATCGCCGGACTGATCCGAGTGAATGCATAATTTCTATAAAAACTTGAAAAAACGCCCTCATAAGGTCTAAAATAGCGTAGCGCCCGCGACGATTAAAAGCGCTTAGAAATTCTCAGAAACTTTAAAATATTTTTGTAAAAATTATTGATTTGAGTAATCAAAATAATGAGCAAGTAAATTATGAATATTTATGTTATGAATATATTTGAGTGATTTCGAAGCATAATATAGATTAAGTCATTTCGTTGGAATTTCAACTATAGTGGTTTTTTAGAGGTGTTTTCGCAAATAATTATGATCGAGTCAAAATTATACTATCGTGTTTTTGAGCAAGATAAAGACATGAATTTACCTATATCAAAATTTCACTTCCCTTAGTGGTGTCATAGTCCTATCAATTATTTTATTATTATAATAGTACATGATATTCCCTTTAAAATGACACCAATATGAATAATATCTTATATCTATATCTACAAATAAATAAAATTGAAGTGTCTGTTTGTAATGTTAAAATAACAGCTTTTTATTAAATGAATATGAAAGTACTAGTAACAAAAACACAATTTTTAAATTTTTTGTCTGTCTGTCGGTCTGTCTGTCTGTTTGTTCCAGCTAATCTCCGAAACAGCTGGATCTATTTTGACGGGACTTTCACTGGCAGATAGCTGATGATATAAGGAATAACTTGAACTACTTTTGTTTTAGAAAAAGAATTAGGGTTCCGCGCAAAAAAATTAAAACCCATGAAATCCATATTCCACGCGGGTGAGATCGCGGGGAATAACTAGTACTCAATATAAATAAATGTATACTTATTTTTATTTATTTATTATTTTAATAAATAAATAAAAATAAGTATTAATAATTTCTAGACACATCTCAACAGATATTTCGTTAATAAATTGCTATCAATACTGAAGCATTCTTTTATATTTAGCATCCATTTAACACAAAAAAAAAAACTGATAAGAATACTTTTTAAACAACATATAATCAATAAACGATAATCGCGTATAGTGAATTTCGAGGTAAACCAGCATGCGACGACGCGGCCCGCGCCTTGCCGCCACTTGCGTTTGCCGCGCTTTGTCTCGTCACAGAGTGGCGAAATCACAGTAATATAGGTATTTTATATACAGCACCTGTCTAATTAATGAAATATGTAGATAAAACTTAAAACTTACCTTGATAAATGTATACCCTTTTGTTTGTAATATTTTTTTAGACCTCTCTTCAATCGTTTCTGCTTATTCCCCATGTTTTACAAACGAAACTTAAACATTAATAAAACTGTACAATTAATATAACTATAAAACACTACTATTAAACAAGAATCAGAAAAAACCTACTCCACTATTAACAAAATTAAATTTTTGCAGTAATATTTTACGATTTTATTTCGTAGTGCTGAGCTCTCGCAACGCGGTGTACGTCCACCTAGCAACAGGATGCGCCCCGCACTGAATTCGTGGACGAATGCGGGGGTGATATAGACGCAGTATTTAATCGGGACGCAATTTTAATTTATTATCATAAAAATAATACATATTTCTAAAAAGTAACCAAACCAAATTATTTTATTTTGTATTGCAAAGCAGTAGATATTTTTTTTATATTCCTTTGATAAACAATGAAGGAGTAAAGTGGTTTCATCTCAACGATTTGGAGGTGATTTGGGTATTTTTTTATTTATTATGTGACACCGATAGAAAAATTATGGCCAAACTAAATTACGTATCAGATCATGTAGATTATTTTTTCATATGTAATTTCTCTGTAAGTGTCGACGAAAAGTTGGTTCATCTGCACGCTTTTTTCAAGCTTTTTGCGAAAGAGCAGCCTTAATAATAAATGCACTTTGTTCATTCATATTCAAAATTTCAAAACACTTTATACACAAACACCGTGTCGAAGACTGAGGAAAAGAAACGACGTTAGACCATCGTTAGACAATGCACGACCTTCAAGCCACACCTCCGTGCCCGTCGGAGAGCATGAGGTTTTTTTCGTTACGAAATTTCTGGATTTTCCCGCACTCAAGGCCTGCGATAGAAGCTATGCAATAGCTTAAAAAAAATCATAAACTCCTTTAAGATTAATAATTGTGGATTGTCGAACCACATTAACCTTCGAAGGCTAGTTTTACCCGATAATGGGTACTACCAATAGGTTTTCAATTGTGTATATTTTACGCGTCTTGAATTTCATCGCATTCACGACCCAATCACACACAATATACCAAAACCTAGGACAAATATGTTTAGGTCATAACCAAGTAATGAAGCCAATATATACCTTCAGTATCCTTACATCCAGGAACACAGCAATGATTGTCTGATGACACAGAATACTTTTTTATATATAGGAATAGAGGCTTTACTCAACGGGTTCAGAAGGAAAGCGATTGGTGACGCCATCTGTAACTACAAACCTACAACTCTCTCGCTATATATATAATTATGTGGATAGCTATATGTCTATCTAAATATACGTATAGCTATTTGCACATATATAGATGTATAGACTAACGTATATGAATAAATTAAGGGATTACTTAAGGCTGCAGAAAATAAAACACATATTAAGTATTATAATCATTTTATTTTGTATTGGCATAGTAGTTGTCATAGTAGGTCATAATATAATATTTATATATTGTTACGAGCTTGAGGTTCGTGACAATAAAAATTGCCGATAAAATTACCT